ATGTGTATACATTTTTGGGGGGTACCCTTGGCATGTGTGTGTGGGGGAGAGAGATTGATGAGATTCTTGGAGGGTTTTAGCTGCCTGTACAACTGTGCTGCATGTGCCTCTGCTGCTCCACGAATGAGGCATGGCTTATCTGGGTCCTTTGCTTAACGTCTCAGTATGGCAGGATGTTGACTAGGGTCTGTGGTATCATCTGAAGCATGACTAATGGAAGATCCACTTTCCTTGGAAGAATTTAGCTCTTTGTAGCTCTGAGATGGAAACTTTAGTTTCTTGTTGGCTGCCAGATAGGGGCTGCCCTCAGCTTGTAAGTATCACCTTCAGTATCTTGCCAAATGGACCTCCCAGCATAGCCCATAGCATGGCAACTTTCTTCTTCAGGGGGAGAGGAGACTAGTGAGGTGGCTGCTATATTATGTGCACATAATAATGTACACAACTGTACACCGAGTCATGTAGGTCTCATCACCTTTACCATATTTTGTTGGTTAGAAACAAATTGAAGGTCATACCACACTCACGGGAAGGGGACTGCCCAAGGGCAAGAAGTTTAGAAGTGGGCAATCATGGGAGTGGAGTGAGTAGGGTAGGCATGCTCTGTCAGAAAAGCAGAAGTCATGGAACACTTTGTGTTGTGCAGGTCACTTCTCCAAGTTTCAACTCCCTTTGCTATCTGCCTGCTTTGCTTGCTTTTCAGTCTCTGGTCGATGTCTTTAAAGATTTTGTCCAGAATTTTTAGATGGGTTGAAGAGGGGTTATGTTACCAAGAAACTGAAATTTTATCACTGGATTTTTGTAGCAAAGAAGTCACTTAGAGAGCAATTTTTATAGAATATTGTGGGCAGAAGCTCGATAGAAATGAGAGGGTGAATGATTAGGAACTGGAGACAGTGAATGTAGATGAGGATTTTTTGCTGTAAGGAGAGCAAGTAAATGGAGGAGTAAATGATGGGGAATGTGGAGTCAAGAGAAGGTTTTGAAGCTTGCTTTTCTTTCTTTTAAAAAAACTTACAGTGTTCCATTTTCAATGACAGTGGAATCATTTATCGAACATCATTTAAAATAGCTGAATAGTGCTCCATTCTGTGCATATTCCAGAATTTGCTTCACTATTTCCCACTGGTTATAGTTAAAGTGACACTACAATGAGAATAGCTTTATCTGTACATTTTCTCAAATATTTCTTATTTTCTTTTCTTTTTTTTTTTTTTTGAGTTGGAGTCTCACTCTGTTGCCCAGACTGGAGTGCAGTGGCTGCTCCTGGCCACCACAGCCTTGACCTGCTGGGCTCCAGCGATCCTTCCACCTCAGCCTTCCAAGTAGCTGGAACTACAGGCGTGCGCTACCACGCCCAGCTAATTTTTTGAATTGTTGTAGAGATGAGGTCTCACCAAGTTGCCGAGGTGGGTCTCGAACCTGCGGTCTCAGGCAATCCACTCACCTCAGCCTCCGAAAGGCGTGGGGTTACAGGCTGAGCCACCGAGCCCAGCTTATTTTCTTAAGGGCGTATTCCCCAAGGTACAGTAGTTGGGTCAGAGAGTATGAATATTTTAAAAGATATTTTCTACTGCTGTGGATCGTTTCTATAAAATAGAGAAATGAGTTACTGGAGGAAGGAGATCCTTTTAATCCTCACTAAGTTGCCATAGTTCGCGTATTCTTTTTTTTTTTTAAGCAGGATTCATTGAGAGGACAAAAAACCTCCCACAGTGGGAGGGGACCTGAGGGGGTTGCCCAGTTCGGGTATTCTTAGTACCAGTTACAGTGCTTAAAAGTTGAAGAAAGAGGATTAATGATTGGATGCAGCGGACAAAGAGGGATAGGTGTAGGAGAGAAAGTAATTAGATTCATTTTAGATTGGGTTTTTTTAAATTGTAATGGAGAGTGCATAGGGCCAGAGGGTTTCAAAAGCAAAGAATTAGCTGAAGTTATTTACCATGGAATCCTAGCTGCACAGGGAAGGAAGTGAAGGCAACAGAGAAGTATTTGGGAAAAAGTGAAGGAGTTCTGCATTCATCTTCATATTAGGTCTTACATGTATGTTTTAATTTTTTTTGTTGTTTTTGAGTTGGAGTCTCACTCTGTCGCCCAGACTGGAGGGCAGTGGCCGCTCCCGGCCACCGCATCCTCGACCTGCTGGGCTCTGGTGAACCTTCCACCTAAGCCTTCCAAGTAGCTGGAACTACAGTGTGCGCTACTACGCCCGGCTGATTTTTTGATTTATTGTAGAGATGAGGTCTCGCTAAGTTGCCCAGGTGGGTCTCGAACCCGCGGGCTCAGGCAATCCACTAACCTCAGCCTCCTAAGTGTTTTAATTTTTTTTTTTGGCTCTGGTATACATACATACACTTTTTACTTGGTCACAGAGGTCCTGTGTACCCTTCCTCCAGTTCCCCCAATGGCTATACTTTACATGATAGTACAATAACAAAAAGAAGAGTTTGACATTGGTATGATGTATGTGTATAGTTCTACGTCAACTCTTATTTTTAAATGTTAATTTTTAAAATGGTAATTATCAACATATAGGAAAACTTTCCTTCACTATTCTTTATTGTTACTTTATTTTCTTCATAGCCTTTGTCATTGTTTGAAATGAGCATTTTATTTGCGTGCTTTCATGGTAATCTCTGCTTTTTCTATTTATTAAGTCTAAGATTTTCAGTTTATTTTGAAATTCCTTGAAATTTGTCATATGCTGATCACTCTTTTAATGTTAATAGTGGCTTTCTTATTTGTTTTTTTTAAGTGTTTTTAGATATTTAAGTAGAAATTTGGGAGGGGGAAGTTGAATGTTGGGTTTGTCACCACATTCTCTTGATATCTCTTATCAAAATTTTTTTTAATTGTTAATTTCAATTAATTCATTTTTTTCCAAAATAAAAATGTTTTTCCTCAAAGCTTAAAGATAATACATTATGATAAAGTGTAATTTTTATGAGTGCTAAAAATGGTAACAATTAAAAAAATTTAGTGACATCCCTTTTCAAACTACCAGTTTGTCTAAAAAGATTTCAGTAAAAGATTCAAATGGTTTATGACTTTTTCTGTATTTACATTTATTTATAAAGACTATCATAGATTCATGTATTTATTAACTTTCAGTATCTAACAGAGGTTTAAACTTCAAGTCTCTGGTTGAAATTTTGTTAAAAAGAATTGATAATCGAATCTTTTAAGCTTAAAAGTCCAGGCGACGTACATTTAATTGTGTGTCACTTTCGAAATAGCTCAGTTTCATCTACTTGTGAAGCTGTTGAAGCATTTAAACTCCCTGCATGAAAGTCTCTGCTGTTATTGACGGAAACTCATTTCAGTGGTTTTGAACCCTGGTTGCACATTAGAATCGCCAGGGGAATTAAAAAAAATGCAGATGCTTCTCATCTCTCAATGTTTGATTTAATTGTTGTTGGCACTGCTTTTTTTTTTTTTTTTAGAGCATCTAGGCTGGGTGCGGTGGCTCATGCCTAATAATCCCACCACTTTAGGAGGCTGAGGTGAGAGGATTGGTTGAACTCAGGAACTCAAGACCAGCCTAGGCAGCATAGCGCGCCCTCATCTCAACAAAAGAGAAAAAAAATCAGGCAAACATGGTGGCTCACACCTGTAGTCACAGTTACTCGGGGAGGCAGAGGCAGAAACATCATCTGAGCTTAGAAGGTCGGGGTTGCAGTGAGCCATGATCATGCCACTGCACCTCAGCCAGGGCGACAGAGTGAGACACTGACTCAAAAAAAAAAAAAGAAAAAGAAAAAAAAACCCAAAAACTTCTAGTTATGTACTGCAAGGATTAAATACCACTGAGTTCTGGTATCTACAGTAGCTGATTTGTCATTCACTTTGAACTTGCAGATTCAAAAAGGGCTTAAATGTGTACTCATGCTTAGCCTTTACAGTCACTGATCAAACCCATTCTCTTTACCATAGAATTCAACTCTTTTCTTTTAACTTCTCTTTTATATTATTTCACTTTTTATTGCACACAGAAGCTTATAATATATTGTCAATTCACTACCAATTTAAAATACTTTAAATGAAAAAATCATTAAAGTTTACTTATTAAAGGAAGTGAACATAGCGTCTAAATTACTTAGTCTCTTTTTTTGTCATTATCCTTCTGCTTTTCTTTTGTGTGTGTGTGTTGGAGTCTCACTCTGTCACCCAGACTGGAGTGCAGTGGCCACTCCCGGCCACCGCAGCCTTGACCTGCTGGGCTCCGGCGATCCTTTCGCCTCAACCTTCCAAGTAGCTGGAACTACAGGCGCGCGCTACCACACCCGGCTAATTTTTGATTTATTGTAGAGATGAGGTCTCACCAAGTTGCCCAGGCGGGTCTCGAACCCACGGGCTCAGGCAATTCACTCATCTCAGCCTCCCAAGGCGCGGGATTACAGGCTGAGCCACCGAGCCTGGCTTATCCTTCTGTTTTATACTTTTTGTTTATTCATCTGAATTTCACAAAAAGTGGGCAAAGAGAAGGAGCAGCCATAGGAGTAAGTCAGGCTTTGTTGAGAAAAGAGAATGGAATGAAATCCTAGGACTTCCTATCTTTATTCATATTCCTCCTTCTCCCACCACTTCATAGTTAGCAAGCCTGCAAAATATATGAATTCTGAAATATGATTATTTTAAACTAATGCTCTTTTGGGTGAGTTCCCTCTTAGGGAATTTTCCATTGTATAAACCTGTATACTCCTTAACTTAAAAATTTGGAAATCACGTTGCTCAGAGAAATTTTACTCAAAACCTTAACTCTATTGCTGATAAAATGCAGCCTCTTCAAAATGCTGTCAGTTGATGTGGGAAGGAAATTAACAGGACAACGACATTAATCAAACCATCATTTGTGAGCATCATTTAAGAAGAAACTGGCTTTCTTGACTAGTTTAATCTAATGTAGTGTTGAAAAAGTTAATTGTTGTTCTTACTTGGATACATCTGAAAACGAAGAGGGAGTTATTCTTCAATTAAATTTTTAAATGTTAATTTTTTAGGTGATTCGGTCTGGGCAAAAATTAAGGAAGAAGTCTGCTGATACAGGCGAGAAACGTGGAGGCTGGTTTAGTGGGTTTTGGGGTAAGAAGGAGTCTAAGAAAAAAGACGAAGAATCATTGATTCCTGAAAGTAAGTGCAAGTCGGATAATCTATTGTATAATGATAATAAAAAAAGATATGAATTATATCTTGCCTGTTAGTTGGATTTTATTTCAGAGAACATTTGAAATAAGATTAGCTTGGTGTGATAAACATATAAGCAAATAAATCAGGCTGAAATATTCCTATGTTTATCTAACTAAAATAAAACTTTGATTTTTTTTTTTTTGAGAAAAATTTTGTCTAAAAGTTTAAATTTAGGTCTCAAGATTTAGCATTCTTTATTGATACCTTTACATGGGTGTTTAATTACAAGCGTCACTTAAGTTTTAAAATGCTTCAGGATTTCTGAAGTTCTTATTTGAGAACTGAATTTTCTTAATGATGTCTCTGCTTTTTCTTAATCTATGCAAGCACATATAGTTTGTTTGTTTAACCAAAGTTGTAGTGTACTAGAGGACATTACTTGGCTAATTTTGCCTTAACATTTGTGTCTGTTACACATGAATTTTGGGATATGTTTCAGTTTGGTTTGACTTTTTAATTGTATCTGTAAAACTGAAGCAATTAATTTCTTTAAGCATTGTCTTTTCTTCATAGCTATTGATGACCTTATGACTCCAGAGGAAAAAGATAAGCTCTTCACCGCCATTGGTTATAGTGAGAGTACCCACAACCTAACTTTACCCAAGCAGGTAATTATTTAGGTGGTTTAAGAGGTATTTTGTCTCATTTTACTGTATTTGATTGAATTGGGTTAAACTTACTGATTTTTTAAAGTAACTAATGAAAATACGTTATTAGTTTCTACTTTACTATTTAATTGTTGAGGCTGCTAGGTAGTCCTTACCAATTAAAATTCTGTCTCTAACTTTAGAATTAGTTGTGTTAGCGAATGTAAGAATAACCTGATAAAAAGTACTTATGTTAAATTGAATCTTTAAAACTTTTATCTTAAACTTTTTAAAAAATTGTGAGATATAATTTACATAAGAGAGAATAAAACCAAAATGTACTGCACATTTGATTGGCCAGAAGGGAACAAGTGTATAATTACTATCAAGGCCAAGATTCAGAATATCGCTGCTGCCATAGGACCCCTTACATCCCCCATCATTGCTTCTCCAAAGGGAATTATATCCAGGTTTTTATGGTGATCATATCTTTGATTTTTTTTTTTTTCTGTAACACTATGATTTTGTTTTACATTTTTAATCTTTCTTTAAATGGACTCATAAAATATGTATTTTTTTGTGTCTATCTTTGTTGTTGTGTGATGCACTTTGTTGCAGTAGATATGTTTTGCTCATTTTTGTTGCTCTGTTAGATTCAATGATTTGAAAATGGCACATCATATTTATTTGTACTTTTGTTGATGAACATTTGGGTTGTTTCTATTTTTTCATTGTTATTTCTTATGTCTTTTAATGTGCATCTGTAAGATTCTCAGTTTATTTACTTAGTGGAATTGCTAGGTCATAGGATATGATATATTTAATATTAGATTCAACTAAGTAGTTTTCTAATGTGGAAAACATTTTCACTAGCAGTATATGAGAATTCTTATTGCTGCACATTTTCACCAACACTTGGCATTATCAGTGTTTTAACTTTTGTTATTCTGAATGGGTTTATATAGTAGTAGTATTTCTTTGTGGCTTTAGTTTGCATTTCCTAGATAACTTAAAGAGGTTTTGCACTTTTTCATATATTTATTGGCCTTTAGATAGGTATCATCTTTTGTGAAGTGGGTTTGAGTCTTTTCATTATTAGGTTGTCTGTCTTTTTCTTATTGGTTTGTAGGACTTCTTTATATATTCTGGATATGAAGCTTTGCTAGTTAGAGGTATTGTTAATATCTTCCTCTACCATGTGACTTGGCTTTTCATTTGTTGTTGTGTTGCAAATATCTTCTCCCACAGTGTAAAGTACAATTTCGCTCTCTTAGTAGTGTCTTTTATGGCTAGATATTTTTGTTTTTAATGTTTATTTTATTTCAAAATCTTTTTCTTTATGGCTAGTGCTTTTTTGTATCCTGGTTAAAAAGTCTTTCCTCACTGTAAAGTCATGACTCTACTCTGCTTCTAGAAGTTGTATATTATTTTACTATGTATTTTTAGATTTATGGTTCATCTATAATTGATTTTTGTGTATGGTGTGAAGTGGAGTTGAGATTCAGTTTTTGTCTGCATGGCTGTTTACTTGGCACAGCACCCATTATGTTCCCCGTTGCTCTCCATTTACCCCTTTCTCCTCAGTCAAGTGTCCATGTACTCGTGGAACTCCTGTTTTATTACACTGGCTATTTGTCTGTCTTGTATTATGCTGCCTTAGTTATTATAACTTTGTATTCAGCCCTGTGACCTAGCTGTGGAAATCCTTAAATTTTGGTCTTCTTTATGATTGCCTTCTCTGTTCTTGGTCCTTTAAATTTCCATATAAATTTTAGTATCAGCTAGTCAGTTTCTATAAAAAATGAGATTTTGGTTGGGTTTTATTGAATCTATAAATTAACTTGGGGAGAATGTATATCTTGATAGTATTAAATCTTCTAACCTGTAAATAAAACATATGGCTCTATTTACCTTTTTTTTTTGTTTCTCTCAGTAATGTTTTATAATTTTTTGCTGTAGAAATTGAACATTTTTAGTTGAAGTTGTTATAAATGGAGTTTTTAAAATTTGGTTGAGGTGGAATTTATGTACAATAAAGTTCACAGATGTTAAGGCTCATTTTGATGAATTTGGACAGTTTGATACACCTGTATAATGACCACCCAAAATATGATAGAGAACATTTTCATTCCCCTAAAAAATTGCCTGGTGGACTTTTCCAGTCGTTTCTCTTTTCTGGCTTTTGAAAAGCAACCACCTTATTACTTATGTGCCCCTTGATTACTTTTTCTTCTTCATGCATTTTTTTTCTTCTGTTTAAAAAATTTTTTTATTTTAAAGATGTAGGGTACAATTCAGTGTTAGGTATACAGATTTTATTTCTTTCTTTGCTCAAGAGAATGCTTTTGATACTCATCCATGTGGTATGTGTGGCAGTAGTTGTTCCTTTGCATTGCTGAATAGCATTTCATTGTGTGAATAGACGACAATTTGTTTTCCATCTTCCGTTCATACATATTTTTGTTGTCTCAGGTTTTGACTGTTGTGAATAAGCCTGCTGTGAAAATTCTTGTACAAGTTTTCTGTGTACATACGTTTTTATTTTTCTTGGGTTAAATACCAGGAAGTGGAATTGCTGCTTCATAACTTTTTAAAAACTGGCAAACACTTTTGCAAAATGGTTGCAATATTTTATATTCCTGCCACTCATTCCAGTGGATTCGTCTGTGTCCTTGCCACATTTGATTTAGTCAGGCCTTCTAAGTTTAGCCATTCTAGTGGGCATGATGTTTTGTTCTACTATGGTTTTAATTTGCATTTTCCTGATGGACTCATGATGTTGAGTATCTTTTCATGTCGGCCATCTCTGTATATTCATTTGTGAAGGATCTATTAAAGTGTTTTTTTCCCATTTAAAAACTGGGTTGTTTGTTCTTTTATTGTTGTTAGTGGGAGTTCTTTATATATTTGCAAACAAGTTTTTTGTCATATGTGTGTGTGGATAGATTGATGTGTACGTTTTTTCATATGTACATGTATAGATTTCTCAGTCTGGCTTCCCTATTGATTTTCTGAATGGTGGTTATTTACAAGAAAAAAATTGTTTTTTATTGTTTCTGTTTTCTTTCCCCCCCAGCTTGTCTTGAATCCTATGAGCCTGTGTGTGTGTGTGTGTATACATACCAGACATTATTTTTGCAAATAATGGATTTTTTTTTTAAGAAATAATATTTTCCTTCAGAGGAAGTCGTTATTTTACTTAGGATAAATTTTTATTTTTTTCCTCCTGGTGTATGTAGCCATTAGCACTTGAGATTATTTTAGGTATTGAGATGATTTGATGCTGTGCTGCAGATCTGTAGGGAGTAAGGCTTCTGCCTACTTCCATTTCATCTTTACTCCCAGGGTGTTATGGGACTTGATTTTCAGTTTCTACCTTGCTAGTTTAGCTTTACAGCCTTTAGGCTATCCCCTGTGAAGTTTTTAAATGTCAGTGGGGTGCTGTGGCTCACACCTGTAATCCTAGCACTTTGGGAGGCCAAGGTGAAAGAACTGCTTGAGCCCAGGAGTTGGAGACCAGGCTAGGTAACGTAGTAAGACCTTGTCTCCATAAAAAATTTTTGAAAAAATTGGGTGTGGTGGCAGGCTTCTGTAGTCCCAGCTACTCAGAAGCTGAGGTGGAAGGATTACCTGAGCCAGAAAGTTGAGGTTGTGGTGAGCTGTGATTGTGCCACTGCATTCCAGCCTGAGCACCAGAGTGAGACCCTGACTCAATTCCCGCCCCCCCCCCCCAATGCCTCTAGAAGAAACACTTCCCAAAATTCCAGGGTCATCTCCCTGGTTCTCTGTCCTGCCACCAATCTTAAATCCTGATCCCAAAATTGCTGAGTTATTTTTTCAGTGTCTTAATAACTCTGCATAGCCACCAGGAAGATATTCTGTATAGTTTTTCTTTTCCTCAACTAGAGGATTGCTCTAAAATACCTAGTTTGCTTCAGTAAAAGCTCCTGAATTGAATCTTTATGCCACAAAATGGTTTGTCATTGTGTCATTGCTGTAACCTTTAAAGCTAAGAGAAATGAATTTCTGGATCTTTTGTAAGTACCCAATTTGAGCAGGCTACTTTATATTGAATTTTCTAATTTAGAGAGAATAAATTTACAAATGAAGATATGATTCTTCATTTATACTGAGCATATGGATGAGACAACCTACCATGTTCTATTTGTTAGGTCACTTTATAATTTCACAAATTTAAATAAGAAATTATTGAAGTAATAATTATTAAGACTAATAATTTTTATTTACTCTTTCTGTATAGTATGTTGCTCATATAATGACCCTGAAGTTAATAAGCACCTCTGTTACAATCAGAGAAAACAAAAATATTCCAGAAATACTAAAAATTCAGATACTTGGCCTGGGCACTCAAGTATCTCAGCGACCAGGAGCACAAGCACTTAAGTAAGTTTATAAAAATGATTATTTCTAGTTATGAATTTAGGCCAAAAAAACCAAAAATGGTGTGTTATTCAAGGGAAAAAAATTAGTAGTAGCTCTTCTTTATTTCTTTTTTTGTGTGTATGCCAAGGTAGTTGTTTTATGTTTGCTTTTGTTTTGTGGTGAAGCTCTATGGGGACTTCATAATTGGTTCCACCCTCCCACCTTTACTTTGCAAATATTGTTGTATACTGTTTAACTCATAGGCTCATTGCTGTGGATGCCATGGGTGGGAACAGTTAGTTTCTATTTTCGAGAAGTTTGTGCTGTAGTTGATAAGAAAAGATACACAAAAAGTTAATAGTTCAAGAGCTATAAAACATATCAGACAGCTCAAAGGTGAGAAGGTATTGTAAAATTAAATGCCTTATAGTTAATGCTACACAGAATCAGTTGTGGGAAAGAATACGTGAGTTAGGAGAAGTCTTAGGGTAGCTGAGTGAAAAGGACTAGGAGAAGCAGGGGTGAGTTGAGAGGGTGTTGAGGGTGGCATGGAAACTGGGATCGGAGTTCATCCATGTTGTATGAGCTTTTGTTCATACAGTCGTGATCAGAACTTTAGCAGTATTCTGGCTAATGTGGAGTTTTCATGTGGATGTAGAGGAATTTAAAACACAACAATAGCAGCAAACCAGATTGTGTGGGTAATCGAATGCCTGGCTAAGGAGATTGAACTTCAGTTCTAGGTAATGGGCCTGATCCTGGTTCTCAGCAGTTTTTTAATGAAAATTTATATTTAACCCATTATATTACAAAGGTCCTTCTTCACATTTCTTCCTTTTTCTTACATTTTCTTCACTGGGTTGTAGGGTGGAAGCAAAATTAGAGCACTGGTATATAACAGGTTTGAGACAGCAAGATATTGTCCCATCACTTGTGGCTTCAATTGGTGACACTGCATCATCCTTGCTTAAAATTGAGTTTGAGACCAATCCAGAAAATAGCACTGCTGATCAGACTCTGACTGTGGAGTCTCAGCCTGTGGAGGTCATCTATGACGCGGTAAGTCCAAGGAGAAAGTGACTCTTTAGTAAAAACATCTTATGCTTCGCACATATGATTTTCTTTTTCTCTTCTTTCTTATTTAATATTTATTTAATATGGGTTTTTCTTGTTTCGAAAGCAGTACATGTTGAGCAGTTAATCTGGATTTTTTCACATGGTATAGTGTTTTTCTACTGTAAGATTTGTCTCTACTTATGTTAAATTCAAAATATCTAATATACTTAAAAAATTCATGTTTATTATACAAACTACCCCTAAATAGTTAAACACTGACTTCCTACTCCAGTTCCTTTTTGTGTATTTTCCATTCTCCTTCAATGTTTGGAACCAATTCAAGAACTTTAGGAGTGGTGAAGAGAATTTTAAATATTGTTCACGTGAGACAACAGCGTCTTGACATTCAGATGTTATTGAAAATGCTGGCTGAAGTTCTGTATCTATGGCTTTCCCTTTTATTTAGGCTGTCTTACTGTCATCTCAAGTTAGTCAGCAAGATGGTATGGTTCACTACTCATCATGTCACTTATAGGTTGGCCCCACCCTGTTGTTGATATCACCGACTTAATTTTGCCTCATGGTTTAGAGATGGATTCATGGTGTGTGTATGGGGAGAAGGATAGAAAGACTCTGGAACTCATTATTATTAAAAACAAATTGATTATGGTAAATATATATAACACAATTTACTGTTTTAACCATTTTTAAGTGTATAGTTCAATAATGTTAAGTACATTTACATTGCTGTACAACCAATCCTCATAGCTTTTTTCATTTAGGAAAAGCTCTGATTTTTTTGAAGTACAAGCTTTGCATATGGGTAAGGGCTGAACAACTTTCTTCCTCTCTATTCTCTAACTTTAAAGTGTAAGAAAATCCAATTATAGCATAGAGAAGTGGAATGGAGGATAAAATTAGAAGTATTGTTCGTTGCTGCATCCCTGTAACCCTATAGAACATGCTGACACCCTGATGATATGCATACATTGTTGCCTCCCTAGTGAGCTTGCTTGAGCTTTACTTATCCAGGAACTCTTTCACTCTGGAGGAAGATGTGGTATGGCAGAGTATCTTGGAGTACAAATAGCTTGGTTCAAAGCCATAGCTATTTAGAATTGAGGTGAAATCTTAAAATTTGTAAGATGGGAAGTAGTATTTATAGCTTGTATTTTAAAATTCTTTTACAGAAAACCATCAATGCAGTAGTTGAATTCTTTCAATCAAATAAGGGATTGGATCTTGAGCAAATAACATCAGCAACATTGATGAAGCTAGAAGAAATTAAAGAGAGAACAGCTACAGGTAAAGATTTGAGTGTACACATAAGAATTCTGTCTATTCTAATGTACACATTGTCTTTAGAATAAGTTGTTTTTTTTCTTTATTTTAATCTCAGTATTATAGTATGGAGTGGACATGACTCACTTGAAGTTAAATATATCTGCTAGATCGGGTGAGAATGAATAATACGAGACACAGTTGATTCTGCTTTTTAGTTCATTCAAAACCTTGTGCCTCAGTGAGTGTGAGATGGAAAACAACCTGCCATCTCAGTTCTTTTTTTTTTTTTTTGAGTTGGAGTCTCACTCTGTCACCCAGACTGGAGTGCAGTGGCCGCTGCCGGCCACCGCAGCCTGGACCTGCTGGGATCCGGCGATCCTTCCGCCTCAGCCTTCCAAGTAGCCGGAATTACAGGCATGCGCTACCACACCCAGCTGATTTTTTGATGTATTGTGGAGATGAGGTCTCGCTGCCCAGGTGGGTCTCGAACCTGCGGGCTCAGGCAGTCCACTCACCTCAACCTCCCAAAGGTGCGGGATTACAGGCTGAGCCACCGAGCCCGGCGCCATCTCAATTCTTAAGAGACTGTTCACTGTACTGTGTGGGAATCTAGCTTTAAAGATACATACCATGGTACCCCATTTGTCTATCATGGCCTCTAAACTCAAGCCAGCTAGGTTATCTGGTTGCTTAACCAAGAAAGTAAGAAATTTGTCTCTAGTCACAATACTACCTGTGTTGGGTTTCTTGTACTGTGCTATATATAATATGGTTGCTTCCCATTGACTATATGCAATTTTCACATTACATGCTGAATTGAGAATCTAATTTGTAAGAAAAACTAACACTTCTTTTTAAGTACAATTTACATCTGGTTGTTAATAATTTGATTACATATTTCAACCTGACCACCTAATCTTTCATTATTTCTTTACCTTCTTTAGGACTTGCACATATTATCGAAACTCGAAAAGTCCTTAATTTAAGGATAAATCTGAAGCCTTCTTATCTGGTAGTTCCAAAGACAGGTTTCCACCATGAAAAGTCAGATCTTTTGATTTTAGACTTTGGTACATTTCGGGTAGGTGTATATGCATTTTTGTCTGCCCATCTTTGATCAGCTTGGTAGCTAATATTTGTTGTTTTTTCCTTAGAGTTTTATTTAACTAAACCTAGGCTTATTTTTTTAAGCTTCTTTTAAAGGCTAGCTTAGAGTATTATATTATATTTTATGGCTATTAAAACAAACCAGAAAACTCCGAAATTTTCTGTAATGGTAGGTGATTTGACTTGAGGACTGGTTTATTTCTGTCTTTTCCTAATTGGTGAGAAGCTTTCCTAGTTTTGATGATTTCCAGAATTTATACAGTGTTATTTGTTGCTTATATAGTTTGATAATAGGAAATTGTACATATAGGAATATATATTTGCTAAACCACTGTCAGTGAGTAGAACAAGAAAACTTCTAGGTTTTAGATTTTGAATGCTGTAGAAATCCATGCCTTAAGAAAAAGATGAAGGTTTCAAAAAATATTGAGGAATCTGAAAAGTTAGTGGACAGATGGAATTTAAAGATAAAAATAATAAATATACACTTTATTTCTCAATGTAAACTCCATTAAATACAGGATACTTCTATAAGTGACGATACCAGCCATTTTGTCCATCAGGAGCTTGAACGTTCTGGGAATTTAACCACATTAATATAGGCTTTTTTACATTATTAACTGAAGAAAATTAGATGTTTTTATAGATTTTTTAAAGATTAGGAAAGCAAAAAAAGTCAGAAGGAGCCAAATCAGGACTGTAGGGTGGGTGCCTAATGATTTATCATGGAAACTCTTGCAAAATTGTGCTGCTTTGGTGAGAGGAATGAGCTGGAGCATAGTTGTGATGAAGACTCTCTGGGGAAGCTTTTTTGGGTGTTTTTCTGCTAAAGCTTTTGCTAACTTTCTCAAAACACTCGCATAAGAAGCTGATGTTATCGTTCTTTGCCCCTTGAGAAAGTCAGCAACCAAAATGCCTTGAGCATCCCCCAAAACTGTTGTCATGGTCTTTGCTCTTAATTGTTTTTTTTCTTCTTTTTAAAATTTAATTATTTTATTTTATTTTTAAAAATGTGGGGTACAAATCAGGGTTAGGTACATGTGTGGTCATCATACAGGTAAAGTGTGGGTACCCTTATTGATGTTATGTGTCCCCTCTCCCCTGGCAGTGTCCCAAGACTGCCAATCCCTTTCTTATAGTATTATGATAAATGTTCAGGGTCCGCTTATGAGTGAGTACATGTGGTACTCAGATCTTTGTTTCTGTGATAAATCACTGAGTACTATAGACTCTAATTCCATCCAGGTTGCTGCAAAGTTTATAATTTTGTTTTTCTTTATGCCTGCATAATATTCCATCATGTAAATGTACCACATTTTCTTTATCAATCCACTTTTGATGGGCAGCATGGTTGGTTCCATGTTTTTCTATTGTGAATAATGTTGCAGTAAATATGCATGTGTAGATATCTTTATCATAGCGTGATTTGAGTTCCTCTGGGTATATTCCCAGAAGGGGGATTGCTGGGTCATATGGAAAGTGGATTTTCAGATTTTTTAGAAATTGCCGGACTGTTTTTCACAGGAGTTGTTCTAGTTTACATTCCTACCAACAGTGTAGAAGTATTCCCTTTTCCCAACATCCTCTCTAGCATCTGTTGTCTTTTGAGTTATTGATGATGGCTATCCTGACGGAAGTTAGGTGATATCTCGGTATGGTTTTAATTTGCATTTCTTTGGTGATTAGTGAGGCTGAGCATTTTTTCATGTATTTGTTGACTGCTTCTGAGTTGTATCTATTCATATCTTTTGCCCATTTTTAAATAGGATTGTTTGTTTTTTTTCCTTTCGGCACATTCAAGTTCCTTATAGAGCCTGGATAGTAGCCCTTTGTCAGATTTACAGTTGTCAAATATTTTTCCCCATTCCATGGACTGTCTCCCCACTCTCTTGATGGTTTCTTTTGCTTTGCAGAAGCTTTTCAGTTTGATGGGGTTCCACTTGTCTATCTTATCTTTTATGGCATTTGCTTTTGGAGAGTTGATCAGGAATTGGTTGCCTATTCCAATTTCCGTAAGGGTGTTTCCTACATTTTCTTCTGGGATTTTTATACTTTGAGGTTCTATATTTAGGTCTTTGATCCATTTAGAGCTGATTTTTGTGTATAGTGATAGGTAGGGGTCCTATTTCAGTCTTCTGCATGTGGTCAGCTAGTTTTCCCAGCACCATTTACTGAATAGGTTCTCTTTTCCCATTGGTTGTTGGTGGAGTCTTTGTCAAAGATGAGTTGGTTGAGGAATTGAGGTTTTGCTTCCAGAGTCTCTATCCTGTTCCATTGGTCTGTATGCCTATTCTTGTATCAATACCGGGCTGTTTTGATTATTTTAGCTTTATAGTGGAAGTCTGTGTGTGATACCTCCCACTTTGTTTCTTTTGCTAAGGATTGTTTTGGCTAGTCATGGTCTTTTATGTTTCCATATGAATTTCTGTATTGTCATTTCCAGGTCTGAGAAGAATGATGTTGGTAATATAATGGGTATTGCATTAAATCTGTAGATTGCCTTTGGTAGGATGGACATCTTAACAATGTTAATTCTTCCAATCCATGAGCATGGAATATTTGTCCATTTGTTTGTGTCTTCTTGGATTTCTTGAGCAGTGTCTTGTTGTTTTCATTGTAAAGATCTTTAATGTCTTTGGTTAGGAAAATGCCAAGGTATTTCATTTTTTTTGTAGCTATTGTGAATGGGATTGTACTTTTTATTAGGGTTTCTGTCTGTTTATTGTTGGTATATAGGAATGCGACTCTCTTTTGCACGTTTATTTTATACCCTGAGATTTTGCCAAAGTCCGTTATCTGGGCAAGGAGATTTTTAACAGATTCTCTGGGGTTTTCAAGTTATAGGGTCTTGTTATCTGCAAAGAGGGATAGCATGACTTCCTCTTTTCCTATTTGGATACCTCTGATTTCCTTCTCTTGTCTTGATTGCTCTAGATAGAACTTTCAACACAATGTTGAACAGGAGGAATGTGAGAGTGGGCAGCCTTGTCGTGTTCTGGTTTTCAGGGAAATTAGTTTGTTTTCAATTTGACTGGACTGCTTCCACCTCTTGGTTTGATTGCGTTTTGTCTTTAGGAGTATATGCTGTGTTTTGCCTCCTGTTACAGTTTTCCAAAGGAATGCTTCAGGATCTCCATTCTGCTTAAGTTTTTCATGAAGTGCTCTGCTCTTACTTATCTGCAGCTAATCTGGGCATGGCAGTTTTGGCTCCCACCATGCGAAAAGTGTGTTCACCTTTCACTTTTCAGTGAGAATTTGTAAACTGAGCCAACAGAGATGTCGGTGATGTTTTCCGTTGATTCTGCTGCTAATCATAGGCTCTTCAATCAGGGTGTGAACAAGTTAAGTTTTTCCTCAAAAATTGATGTGGATGACCTGCCACTGTGGATTTCATCTTCAACATTGTCTTTTTAAAATGAGTTATCCATTTGTAAACTGCTGATTTCTTTGGGGCATTATCCCTATATGTTTTTCATAAAGCTTCAGTGACCTCACCATTCTTCCACCCAAGCTTCACCATAAATTTGATGTTTGTTCTTGCTTCAATTTTTGCAGAATTCCTATTGCTCAGATTTCATATTGCCCTTTTCAAACTGATGTCTTATCCTTCCTTCTTAGTGCCTTAAACTAGATCCTGTTCAGGCATGTTATAAGAAGTTAATGTGAGCTTATTTTGGTGCAAAAAATTTGAAATTTATGCATAGATTTTTCTGGGAGCTTTTTGGAGATCCCTCATATGCTCCTGAATTGATCCTTGCTTCAACTGGGAAGGGAAAAAAGACAGTAGAGATTGGAGCTGAATTATAATGACCTAATTATTCTTGTGGTGTAGTGGATATTGGTATAGGAAAGGGTACAGGGTGCATACCAGGGAAACTGAGCTATTAGTATCAGTAACTCCTTAGAGCCATGAAGAGGATGAGCTGCATGTCTAGGCAGGTATTGGAGGCAGACAGTTGTGTAATTGATCTCCTTATTAATAAAAATGTGTCGAGCACTTGTTATTCAACTATAATAGAGATGCATGGAGAAATATTATTTTCTTAATAAAGTATTTGCAAATAATTATCAGACAATTAAGCAAAATGTCAATTCATTATGGGTAATACTTTCATTTAGTTAGAAAAGTATGTTGATGCATTTATCTGCTTGGGAAAAAAAGTTGAAGTTTTTATCTTCATTTTAGTTCAACAGTAAAGGTCAAGGTTTACAGAAGACTACTAATTCATCTCTGGAAGAAATAATGGATAAGGCATATGACAAGTTTGATGTTGAAATAAAGAGTGTGCAACTACTTTTTGCAAGAGCAGGTAAACCATTACTGAACTTTTAGAATCGTCAACATTGTGTTGGAAGTCCTAGCTAGAGCAGTTACGTAAGAGAAGAAAATCACGGGTATTCAAATAAGAATAGCTTTGGCAATACATTTCTGTATATATGTGTGTGTGTGTTTGTATATCAATCCTAATAGCCATTTTGCACACATGTGACTGCTAGTCACTTAAGAAAAGCAAATGGGAACCTATCAGTATAAATTATTGCTACAATTACAAATAGAAATGGAAATTTGGATGTTCATCTCAGGTTACCCAGTATTCTTTGAATATAAGTCCATTCGTGGCCTGTGCTTGGAGCACACAATGGAAGTTGCTGTTGGTTCAGCGTCTTCTGTCTTAGTGCTTTTGGGATGACTCACTGTTATTTTTCTCACCACTTTCATTATTAAATATTTTACTTTATTAGTCTAGTCTTTATTTTAGCAGTATTACATTTACTTTTGCAGATATCTGAGAAGCATGTATCTACAAAATAGTAGATAATAGGCTTAAAACTTTAAAGATAATTGTTCTATTTTCAGAAGCTGTGGTGTTTTCTACTCCTTAAGTAAAGTTTTCTTGTTTTTTTGTATTTAGTTTCTAGAAGTAATAAATACTTATTAATTATTCTTGAGTATATCACTTTGTGGCCGGTCATTGGAGGATGGGAGAGACATAATCTCTGTATGTAGAGTTTATATACCCTAGTTAGGAGTGAGGAGATTTATTAAGATGTAAATATAACATTTTGCATAGCCTATTCATTCCTTGAAGGAAAGTACTTACACAGACCCTTAAAACTGCCCTTTCTTTTGCATGTACTTGAGAATAATTGCTTGAATTATAAGTGATAAATGATTTTCAGTCATTGTAGGACTCTGTTAACTATTGAAAAATTTGTTTTGGGGACCTTCTTATTTGAAGAAAAATAATTATTATACTTTTTTGCCATAAAATCTAACTTGATAAAAGTCATTTTTGCTTTGGAGTTGTGTGCTAAGCTAGTGTAAATATTGCACTTAGGAACTCCATATACCTCTTTTTCTCACTCTTTTTTTTAACCCCCTCTTTTCACTGTAACCATCCTCTTTGGTCACTAATTCGGGAACCAAAGTAGTTAGTTCCTGAAGTTGTTTTTTTTTTTTTTCTGTTTACTTTGAAATGCAAGATTTTATCATATAAACATTCTCCAAACACGTAGAATTCTTTTTATATCACAGGCTTTGGTATGTATTTTAATACATATCAATATGTATTTTATGTCAATATGTATTTTAAAAATAGGTTATTTAGTATGCTGAAAGAAATAAAAATTGGTAATCATTGACTCTGTTTTAACGTAGAGTGGTTTTCCACAGAATACCTTATAATTTAAAATAGCAGGTCATTACAAGTAATATTTCAAATTTCTTTTTTAAAGAGGAAAACTGGAAAAAGTGTCGATTTCAGCATCCATCAACTATGCATATATTGCAGCCCATGGATATTCATGTTGAGTTGGCCAAGGCAATGGTAGAAAAAGACATTAGAATGGCCAGGTAATATATGAGTTTCTTTTTTATTAGAAAATCAACATGGTGAAATATATCTGCAACAGTTACTGGAACTTAATGAAGCAAAGATTTCTGTAGAAGACAGAAAAAAATAGTGATTATTCTATCTTGTAGCAGAAATATATTTTTAAGAAAGTGTGTATTTGAATTAAATATCACCTCTCTTATTTCAGAAGTATTTGGACTTTAATGTTCTGTAAAAGTTGGTGATACGTGTTTTTGAATGGATCCAACTCAAGGTTTAGTATCAGTGAAATAAAATCTTCAAAAGAATTAGAGGCTCTTTTGATCATGAAGTCACATAACTTCCTGAGAAAAATCTGAGGAAATAAGCAATATAAAATGAATTTTGAATTTAAGTAGACAATTAAGAAATATTTATGCAGCTTTAAAAAAACAGCTTTACTGAAGAATAATTGACATTTAATAAGCTGTATGTATTTAAAGTGACAATTTGATAAGTTTGACATATCTTTATGTCTGTGAAACCATCATCACAGTCAAGATAGCATCTATCACTTACAAAAGTTTCAATTATTTTCTCTATTGTACTTCTGGGTTGTTTTTTTTTTTTCTGATTTCTACTCTGATGTTTATTACTTCTTTGTTCTGCTTGCTTTAGGTTTCATTTGCTTTTTATTTTTAGTTTCTTAGGGTGAACACCGAGGTCATTTGAGACCTTTATTTTTTAAAATATAGGCATTTAATGCTATAAATTACCTTGAAATACTACTTTACTGTACCCTAGTAAGCATCTAGCAGCTAGGTATCTGTCAGCTTGAGCTGTTTACAGCTTAGCCAGTAAGCCAAAAATAACACTTGAAAGAGCTTTATGAGAAGCTACAAAGCTATTGAGGTCTATAAACCTGGGGAGTTACATTGAGTAGGGACTAGAATCACCTGCCGAAAGTAAGCAGCTGATACAAGCATAATGGTGATTCAGCAGTGAGTAAAATAGATGTCCTCATGGAGCTTACATTTTAATCAGAGGAGAAATAATTTACTAATGATCTGACAGGTGCTGCCAAGTGCTATATGTGTATGTAAAAATAAAGAAAGCAAGTCAAGGGGATACAGAGTAATGTAGTAGATACTCTTTGATGTTTATAATGAGAAATCTTTGACACCAGAAAATAGGGTTTGGGTTTTAGAAAGTAGAGAATTGTGTTTAAAAAGACTTTCATAAGTGTTAGTTGACTTAAATTTGGCTGCTTAAGAGGGATATGTTTAAATTATCTGGAAACTTGGTTTGCATGGAACTTTCTATTTCTTGACAGTGTTTTCTAAACGAGGCATTATTGTAAATAGTTTAAAGTAACTTTGACTCTACAATGCAATCTCTTCTCTGGTCCCTATCCCTCTCTGTAATATAGAGAGACTGACTTTAAAACCTTATAGCTGAATTGTATTTTTAGATTTAAAGTATCAGGAGGACTTCCTTTGATGCATGTGAGAATTTCTGACCAGAAGATGAAAGATGTGCTATGTTTGATCAACAGTATACCTTTGCCACAGAAATCATCAGCACATTCTCCAGAGAGACAGGTAAATTTATATAACAAAAACAATAAATCTTTTATTTTCAATACTATTCTAGAATGGTGGTAGAAAGTCAGTTTCAGGGCATGTTTTATAAGTGAAAGGACCCAAAAGATAGAAATTAAAGGAAAATATTTTTCAAATTTATAAAATAAGTTTTAAATAACATTTGATTAAAAAACTACTAGCAGAAATCATCTTTAAAATGTTGCAAATAAAACAATTGGTATGCAGTTTCCTTGTATGTCAGACTTGAAGTTCTAGATCACTTTAATTGAAGTTGATCTTTACAGCATAAAAGAAATACTGGATTTCTACTTACTTTGAAATGAAATTTGAGAGCCAACTGATGGTGATACTATTTTCCAGGGATCTGTAATAAAGATGTACTTTGATTTTATAACATTATGTGAATAATACACAATGATAGACTAACCTGTTAGAGTTATACTTAGTTTTGTTCTTGTAAATGCAGATGGTAATCTTAATTTGTAAATTCTAACCAACTGTTAGTTGATTGCATAATGTATTTTTGTTGGAACATTTGTGTATTGTGTATATATGTGTCTTTCTGTCTCTCTGTACCTTCTGTTACTTTTCAGTCTTTCTCTCATTTATGTACATTTAATCCTGCTAAATCAGTATTTAAAAGACATCTTTTTGCATTCTTTGCTAGGTATCCTCAATTCCTGTTATTTCAGGTGGGACAAAAAGTCTGCTTGGTACTTCACTTTTGCTAGATGGTATGGAATCAGGTAAGGAAAGTAAAATATTCTTTCTTTATGAAAACAAATCATTATGTTGTTATCTAGAGATAAAACTTTTAGGAAATAAGAGAATTCTGAAAACTGCTTGTTCTAGTTCTAGCTGTGCTACTAACCAGTAGTGACTTTGAGTCATTTGTCTTCTTTAAGCCCAAATTTCTTTATTAACAAATAAAGAGATTTTTTGTGGCTGACAGTGCTTACTTAAGATTCTAAACAAGCCTTTTTTTTTGTTGTTGTTGCAGCAATCTCTATGTGTTCCTTTTCTTTAACTCTGGCCTAACTTGTGTCTTTTAATTTTGAACTAGAATATAAGCTTCATGAGGACAGGACCATGTCTATCCTGGTCACTCTGTTGTCCATAGTGGCTGGGTAGCCTGATGCATGGTAGATGATGCCCAGTAAATATTTTGTTGGATATTGAATGAATGAAATGAAGTGAAAAACAGAACCACTGAAGAAAATACAGTAGTGCTTTTGGATTTTAAATGTTATTATCACATACCAGGTTGAGTCACTTCGTGGAACTCTAAAAAAGGAAACTCTTGTGATGCGGAATATGAAGATTGCATTTAAAAATTAATCTTCGTTGTGGGAGACTTAGATTTGAGTGTTTTATGAAGTTTCAACGGATGTTGTCTTAGGTCCAATGAGTATCTTTTTCTTTCAGAGTCTGATGATGAGTATTTTGATGCTGAAGATGGAGATGCACAGACTGGTAAAAGTATGAAAGGGTCAGAACTACAAAAAGCTGCAGAAATCCCAAATGAGGAGCTTATTAATCTTATACTCAAGTTTGAAATTAAGGAAGTATGTATTTTTTGTTCATAAATAAATACATTCGTGCTGTCACTGTCTTATGAACTATCTCAAGCTAGATCCAAATGTTAAATACATTTAAAATGTAGAACTCTATCTTTCCTACTGCCCCCCACAGGTATACTCACTCTCTTTCTCTCTCTCACAAAGTTTCAAAAAACTGAAATATTATTTTTAAGATACTGATGTAAGTATGATTTGTAGTATATCTAATTTGTTCTATAAGAGCTTAGACTATTAGATAGGATTTGCTTTGCTGCAGACAATTTTTATGACATGCTTTCTTTAATTTTTTTAAACATTTAACTTTAAGCTAAATACGATTACTCATTGTCACGTTTGTAATTTTGAAAAATGTAAACAGCCTAAATTTCCAACATGCTTTCTATAGCCTTTAAAAGGAAATGTGGAAAGATGGTCACAATATATCATTATTTGGTGCAAAAGCAATGATAATAACAAGGACATTATGATTTCATTTAAAATTATATTTCCTTTGATAAATGACAGACAGTGTTTATCTCCAGGTGTTGGGATTTCCTTTTTTTTTGTATTTGCCTGTTTGCTTTTCCTTATATTCTAAGTTTTCTGTAATAAATTTGTATTGATTTGATAATAAAACACAAAAGATAAGAATAAAGAGATATTCCTTATTTACTATTTTGTATCTCAAAGTGAGCATATCCTAAAATATGTCAGGAATACCAGGTTTTAATTGTGTGTACAAATGTAATTATTATTGGTGTTTGTTTAGAGAAAGACATGCTTTCTCCTGTAGCTTTCTTTGAGTTTGCTCTCTCATATTCCATCCAAAGTATTAGTAAATCCCATGACTTTATCTTCAGAGTACATCCAGATGATTGCTTTTCCCTTCCACTGCTGCTGTACTGTACAAAGCACCAGCAGCTCTTGTCTGGATCATTGCGGTAGCCTCTTAAATGTCTCTGCTTCTGTCACGTACCCTGTTCTCCTTACAGTTGCTAAAGTGATCCTTTAAAAGTGAAAGGCAGATCATTTCACTACTCTGCTCAGAATCTTCCACTAACTTGAAAGCTCACTCAGAGTTAAGGACTGAGCCCTTCCCATGGCCTCCACATCACCTCATGTGACTGGATTTATTTTCACTTCCTTTCTGGCTTGCTCACTCTGCTCTAGCTGTATTTTATTTATTCCTTCAATAAGGATTTATTACGTGCCATCATGTACTAGACATTGTGTTAGATGCTAGAAAACAGTAGTTTGCCTCATGGAGCTGACACCTGTCTTTTGTTCTTCCTTATATATACCAAAGCACATCCTTTGTGCTTTCTGTTTCCTTTGCATGGAACACTTTCCCTGCATAGCTTGATTATTTATTTCCTCCAGATATTTGCTCAAATATCATCTTAATGGAAAGCGCTGACTACCCAATATAAGATAGCTACCTTTACTTTCTACAATTTTCTGTAGAATGTAAGCTACATGAGGATAAGGACTTCTGTAGTCCATTTTCTATTGTTATAACAGCATACCTGAGACTGGGTGATTTTTTTTTTTTTTTTTTGAAGACGCTTATTTGGTTCAGTTCTTGAGACTGGGAGGTCCACCTGCATCTGGTGGTGTTTTTCAGACCGTATGTTTCCCTGAGGAAAGGGGGAAGGATGAGCAAGTTTGTGCAAAAGAAAAAGTACAAGGTCCTGGGCTTGCTTTATGATAACCCATTCTTGGGATCAGTAATCCACTCTAGGCAAAAATGAAACCCACTCTAGCAAAAAATGAATCCACTCACCAGGACAGAGTCCACATAACTGAAGCACTTCCTGTGAGGCCTTCTTTCTCAGCACTGTGGAATTGAGGATCATGTTTCAGCATCAGTTTTGAATGGGGTATTAAAACTGTAGCAAGGATCATGCCTGTTTTAGTCCTTAGTTGCCAGCACAGCCTAACATATGGTAGATGGTGCCCAATATTTTATCGAATATTAAATGAAAGAACTGAAGTGAAAAGTTCCTAGTATGACTTTTTGTGCTGTTTTGAAGTTTTAAATGTTTATGTGGTGAAATTTAATCAAATTTTATGTCCTAGATTTGTGTATGCTTAGGAAATTACTCATTACAAAAATTTTTACCAATGATTTTACATGTTTATGATTTAATTGCTTTCATTTAAATCTTTTACTTATCTGAAGCTTTTTTGAATATCAGTTTTGTACTTAATACCTTACTGCACTATCATTTTATCGTTTAATGTTTTCTTGATTTTTCTACAGTATATAATTATATCATCTGCTATTATTAATTTTTGCCCTTTTCCAGTATTTCTACTGTTGTGGTTACTATTGCTACCTACCCTAAAATTTAGTTTAAGTTACTTTAAAACTTAGTAACTTACAAAAACTTTATTTTTCTCACGGTTTTGTGGATTAGGAATTCTTGAGGGGCCCAGCTGAGTAATTTTGTGTATAGTCAGTCGTTTGGTCTGATGTTGGCCAGGGCTGTAGTCTTCTGAAGTCTTGAGCTGAATGTCCTCATGAGGCTTCCAGTTGATACTAGCTGTTGACTGGGAGCTCAGCTGGGACTGAAAACTGAAACACCTACTCATAGCCTCCCAGCATGACATTTTCAGAGTAGTTGAGTTTTTTACATGGCAGCTGGCTTCATGGTCATTTTTCTGACATCAAAAGTCATTATAGTATTACTTCCTTTGCACGCTATTGATGGAAGCATTTACAAGCTTGCCCGTATTCAAAGGCCTCCACCTCTATGGAGTGACAAAGGCCTCCACCTCTTTGGAGTATCAAAGCACTTGTACTTTTAAAAATTGTCACATGTATTTTTTATTGGCTAAATATACTGGCTGCCATTTCTAGAATTAAATAATAGCATGATACTGGATATTCTTGTCTTACTTTTTACTTTTATGGGGTTGCTTTTTTATTTTTTAAACCATGCATGATTTTTGTTTTGAAACACAGGTTTAAGAAAATCATTTTGAGGAAGAATCTGTACATTCCTAGTTTATTTAGAAACAAATCAATAATAGACTTAAAGTTCATCATGGTTTTTTATAGATGTACTTGCATGCTCAGTAATATAATTTAAGATGATCTTTCTAATTATATTAAATAACTTTATGGTAGTAGAAGATCATGAGCAAAGTTCCTCCTTTTCTCATGGTGATATGTATGGAGAAAGATTTTGTTTTTGATGTTTTAAGTATGATTCAGACTTAACAACTTTTCATTGGCTATGCTAATTCTTTTAGGTGATTTTGGAATTTACTAGACAGCAGAAAGAAGAAGATACAATCCTAGTATTTAATGTTACTCAGTTAGGAACAGAGGCCACAGTGAGAACATTTGACTTAACTGCGGTATCTTATTTAAAGAAAATCAGCTTGGATTACCATGAAATTCAAGGTAATAGCCATAAAAAATAGATATAATAGTCTATAATAATACTGTTGAGTATGTCAAACACTTTCATTTGTATAATATGTATAATAAGTGATAGCAGTGTTCTAAGCATTTTATAAGTCATAACTTGTCTAGTCCTTACAACGATGGTGGGATAGGCAATGTTATCTCCAGCTTACATGTAAGTAAAGATTGATTATGTAGTTTATGTACAGTCATACAGCTATAAGTGACTGAACCATGATTCAAACCCTGTAAATCTGGCCCTAGTGTCTTTTCTCTGAACTAATATTATCTGTTGCCTCAAAGAGTTCATAAACATTCCCTTAACATGGAGAGTATTATTCCCATTTGCAAACAAAGAAAGGCTAAATTAAGGTTACATGACTCACTTAATATAGAGAGTGCCAAAAAAATGTATACACATTTTAAGAAAGAGCGGAAGAAATTGTATTAAAATTATAGATGAATGCAAGTCACATTTGACTTCTGTAATTTCAAGATGTGCTCAAAATGGTTACCATCAGTGGTCAGACACTTCTGATTATGGTGAACTAAAACTAATACAAAGATAACATCTCTTAAAATGTGTATACATTTTTTTTTTGTTGGCACCCCTGGTACCATGTATCTTGTGAATGGCAACACCTATAATTCACCTCTGGTCTTACACTGTTGAAGGCCTTGTTCTTTCTATTCAATAGTGTACATATATCACAAGAAGCACCAGGTTATATAAATAAAAAAGGTTATTTCCTTTAGAAGCTCTTATAGTTTATCATTTCAGTGTATACCTGTGTGCACAGATATTTATGTGGATGAATCTATATTAATTAAAATTCCCTAATATTTGCCTAATGCTGTAGTCAAATGTGGATTGTCCTCGGTGTCTGTGAGGGATTGGTTCCAGGACCCTCACAGACACCAAAATCTGTGATGCTCAAGTCTCTTATATAAAATGGCACAGTATTTTCATATAACTTATGCACATCCTCCTGTATGCTTTAAATAGTCTCTAGATTAATTATAATACCTAGTGCAGTGTAAATACTATGTGAATAGTTGTTATCCTATATTGGTCTTTAAAATTTGTATTTTTTAGTAGTATTTTTATTTATTTATTTTTTCTTTTTTTTAAATTTATTTTTTAATATTTCGATTCGAGGTTGGTTGATTCTGTGGATGTGGAATCCGTGGATACAGAGGACCTACTGTGTAAAGACCTATGGTTTATACTTTTTTAATAGTTGAAAACAAAATAAACCTCAGCTTAGAAGAAAAATGTGTTAGTAATATTCTATACACATTGTGTTATACATTATAGCCTTGATTGAAACATATAAATAATACATTTTCTAGGCCATTTTTTCTATTAGGAAAGGTTATGATCTTGGAAACCAAGGGAAAATTTTGAGATGTCCCAAAAGCAAGAGTTACAGAACTGCAAATAGTATAAGATGCATTATATGATGAACAAATCACATCTCCCTCTACAGCTTTTAGAGACAGTTCCTTGGTATATCTCCATAAGGCTGTAGAGGACATCTGATAGTACCTGTTGCTTTTAAGTTACAAAGAAGCTTAACAATTCTTCTACCTTAAAAAAAAAAACCAGAACTTTATTTTTTCATGTAAGTTGCCTCTCTCAGTCTAAACAAATGAAGATTATTTAAATTTCTTTAATAGAAATAAGATAAATTATTTATTCATAGAATTTTAGGGGTCAGTAGGATATCTGAGATTTTTATAGTCCAACCTTCTTGTTATATAGTTGAGAAAACTAAAGTTAAATAGTTTTTGGGAAGGGTAGAGATGAACTAGACTTCATATCTCCTGATTCTTATATCCTTAGTCTTTCCGCCATTCTACAAATACACATATGGGCTTAAAAATATCTAGAGAAGTGTGGATTACTTTGAATACAGATATGAAATCTAGTGAAAATAAATATACACTTTTTAAGTAAGTTTGATACCAGAGTTAAGGAAAAGATTTGGATTGGTTTTGTTTCTTTAATGGTGATGGCCGTACCATTTTATAACTGTGAAAATATGCACAGATATGCTTTTAAAACTTAATTAGGAAATTTTTTAAAAAGTAAAAAACATTTAGAAAGTTTCAAAATTTAAAAAGAGCAATTTAGTTGAAAAATTTTTTCCCCCTTTTAAATTTAGGATCCAAAAAGAAGCCCCTTCACTTGATTAGCTCTTCTGACAAGCCTGGATCAGATCTTTTAAAAGTGGAGTATATTAAGGTAAGAGCCATAGGATGATTATCTATTTATTGCATACTCAAAAATGTGCCCAAATGACCATATGTTACTCATGACTCAGCATGTGTATCACAATTTCTTTTCAGTTTTCAAACAGCTTTATTTATTTAGTGATGTTTAAAAACTTTTATATATCTTTTAAAAATTATATTGTATTATATTATAGAGATGTGGGGTACAAATAAGGATTAACTACACAAGTAGCCTGCATGCAGGTGAAATTTGGTCCTCCAATTGGCCCTCACTCCCCTGTTACAGGACCAGTTCCCTTTGTGTTGTTGCATGTCCTACCTCTTTTACTAGGAGTGCCTAGTGACTGCCAATCCCTCCCTTGTGCTGATGTGATTAATGTTCATGTTCCACTTATGAGTGAGAACGTACAGTATTTAGTTCTTTGTTTCTGTGATAGGTCTCTTAGTATGATGGTCTCCAGTTCCATTTAATTTGCTGCAAAGGCCATGATTTTGTTCTTTTTCATGACTGTGTAATACTCCATCATGCATACATACCACGTTTTCTTTATTCAGTCCACTTTCAGCGGGCAGCAGGATTGGTTTCATGTTTTTGCTGTTGTGACTAGTGCAACAGTAAACGTGTATGTAGATGCCTTTTTGGTAGAGTGAGTTATGTTCCTTCAGGTGTATTCCCGGGAGAGGGATTGCTGGATCGTATGGAAGGTCAATTTTTGGTTCTTTTAGGAAGTGCCACACTGCTTTCCATAGAGGTTGAATTAACTCGCACTCTCACCAGCATTGTAGAAGGGTTTCGTTTTCTCCACACCTGTGCCAGCATCTGTTGTTTGTTGATTTGTTAGTGATGGCCATCCTTACTGGAGTTAGGTGGTATCTCATTGCAGTTTCGATTTGTATTTCTATAATTAGTGAGGCTGAGCATTTTTCATGTATCTGTTGGCTGCTTGTATGTCTTCTTTTGAGAAGTGTCTGTTCACGTCCTTTGCCCACTTTTTAATGGGGTTCTTTGCTTTTTTTCCTTTCACTTTGAGTTCCTTGTAGATCCTGGATGTTAGGCCTTTGTTAGATATATGATTTGCAAATATTTTTTCTAATTCTGTGGATTGTCTCTTTACTCTCTTGATGATTTCCTTTGTTGTGCAAAACTTTTCAGTTTGATGAGGTCCCACTTGTCTATCTTAGGTTTTATGCACAACTTTTAAGAGGGAAATCTGTGCCTTTTTTTTTAACATATTTTTTATTTTAAAATTGTGGGGTACAGTTAAGGGTTAGGTATACAAATATGCATTGTGCAGGTACCCTTGTTGATGAGGTGTGCCCTCCCGTCTTCAGACAGATATCGACTACCGTTAATCCCACCTCCCTTCCTCTCCCTGCCCCCCCCCGTAGTTTCCTGCCACTGTCAATCCTTTTCTTATAGTATTACGATAGTTGTTCAAGGTCCACTTATGAGTGAGAACATGTGATACTCAGATCTTAGTTTCTGTGAGAGATCACTCAGTATTATAAACTCCAATTCCATCCAGGTTGCTGCAAAATTCATAATTTTGTTCTTTTTTATGGCTGTGTAATATTCCATTGTGTATATGTACCAAATTTTTAAAATCCAGTTCTCTTTTGGTGGACAGCATGGTTGGTTCCATGATCTTGCTATTGTGAACAATGCTGCGCTAAACATATGTGTGCAGGTATTTTTTTTCTTCAGGGTATATTCCCAGTAGGGGGATTGTGGGGTCATATGGAAGGTCGATTTTTAGAGCTTTTAGGAATCACCACACTGATTTCCACATAGGCTGCACTAGTTTACACTCCCACCAACAGTGCAGAAGTGTTTCCTTTTTACCGCATCCTCTCCAGCATCTGTTATTTTTTGAGTTATTGATAATGGCCATTCTGACTGGAGTTAGGTGGTATCTCAGTGTGGTTTTAATTTGCATCTCCTTGATGATTAGTGAGGTTGAACATTTCTTCATGTGTCTGTTGCCCACTCGTATGTCTTCTTTTGAGAAGTGTCTGTTCATATCTTTTGCCCACTTTGTAATGGGGTTGTTTGCTTTTTTTCTCACCCCTCCTGTTCAATATAGTATTGGAAGTCTTTTTTATTTGTACACATTTTTTCTTTTTTACTTAAGTGCAGTGCTATTCCACAATCACTAAACTTTTTGTTCCCAGGAAGCCTATGAACTAGTTGCTGTTTTTGTCTCCTAGGGCAGATTTAGATACCTATATTAATAGCAGGCCATTGATAGGTGACTTTTGACTGAGAATCCTGTATCAAAAAGGATAAAGTCCTATTAGGTTGGGTTCAGGAGAGAACTGCCCGGACCTATATTAATAGCAGGCCATTGATAGGTGACTTTTGACTGAGAATCCTGTATCAAAAAGGATAAAGTCCTATTAGGTTGGGTTCAGGAGAGAACTGCCCGGATTGAGAAGAGACCGAAAAATATGTCATGTGAGAAACACTGAAGGAACTGATGGTATTCAACTTCATCAAGATTAGTTGAATGGTGTAATTAATCAACTATTTATTGACTATCTGTCTGTGTTATTGAATGTCTTTACTGGGTAGTCACTTGGGATACAGAGTTGAAAAACATTCCCTGTTCTCGGGGAAAGTATAGACCAGTAGAGAGATAGCTAAGTAAACATCAATCAGAATATAATGTGGTTTATTCTCTAATAAAGGAAAGCCCAAAGCAAATATGGGTGGTGAGGCAGGAAAACTGGCCAGGCTAGCGAGCTTTTCACAGGAGGTATGTAAACCTTTGAGTTGAAATTACTGTTTGTTCTTAAGGAACAGATCTAGGATCACTGGATAGTTATAATGGGAGATAAATTTTTGACTCAGTAAGAAGTCCACATTAAATCAAAGTTCTCTAAAGATTGAATTGCTAAGGAAATAAGATTTCTTTCACTGAAGATATAAAAAACAGACTTGCTTAAAACTTTTAGGAGGGAGTTAACATTAGGTGATGGATGGACTAGATGATCTTTACACCTTCCAACCTTCAGAGTTTATCATTCTGGTTCCTAGCTACTGTTTTTCAGAAGTGAGTAGTCAACTGTTTGAAGAAAACACATTTGCACTATTACAATAAATAAACTATTTGGATGTAACCTTAAAATAATTACAACAAAATTAAATATATCACATACTTAAATAATTGATTTATTTACTTCGATTTAATTCCTACTTTAGCCTTTTTTTTTTCAGGCTGATAAGAATGGACCCAGTTTTCAAACTACTTTCGAAAAAACTGAGCAAACAGTTAAGGTAAGAAATTCTGTTAAAAAATATATTCTATTTGAAAATAATCCATTCTGGAAGTGTCTAGTATCCTTTGAGGAATGGAATATTGACTGGGTAATTTGATGACATACTCAAAGACCAATAAGAGTTATAAATAATCTGATAGATGCTACCATGCATTGTGTTTGTGATTCAGTTTAGTAAAGATGCTGTTTTGACTTATTGTATTACATCCTCATATTTTAAAAGGTTTAGTATTATTTTTAAATAAGGGAATGTATAAACAACAGAACTTTAATTTGCAAAGAACTAACAGGGTTCTAAATAAACCAAACTAAATAGCATTGTTTAATGCAGAGTTAAAAAACATAGAATTCAAGGAGATATGTTGAGTACTTGTGAAGCCATACTAAAGGAGTGACATAGAGGAAGAGGAGGCAAAATGTACATTGAAAAGACCTCATCTCTACAATAAATCAAAAAAGTAGCCAGGCGTGGTAGCACGCTCCTGTAGTTCCAGCTGCTAGGATGGCTGAGGTGGAAGGTTCGCTGGAGCCCAACAGGTCGAGACTGCAGTGGCCGGAGCAGCCACTGCACTCCAGTCTGGGTGACAGAGTAAGACTCCAACTCAAAAAAAAAAAAAAGAAAAGAAAATGAGAGAGATGAGGCTTAGATCACAGTTTTGAGAGATGGGAGACTCTATTGTAATATTGTAAACCTTCCTTTCTATAGTTTTTGTATCATTTAGTGTTTTAAGGCAATGAAAAATTCTTTTTATAAACAGAGCTTTTTACTGTATTTTAACTTGCTATTAGAATCCTACCCATTTGTGAAAGCAATTTGTGTTGCTTGTCTTAGCTTTCTAGAGTAACTGTTTTTAAAAATGTAGTACTTTCCCCCTATAAGCTATATAAAATAATAGAACCATTATTGCGGTTTTAGAAGATCATGTAGTAACTGAAAACTCACTCATAATTGTTTTATTTATATTTATACATATATATACACATACATATACACACACATATAATATATACATGTGTTATACACACGCGCACAGATAGACATACACAGTATTTTTTTTTTTTTTTTTGAGACAGGGTCTCACTTTGTCAACCAGGCTGAAGTACAGTTGTGCAGTCATAGCTCACTACAGCCTTGCACCCTTGGGCTCAAGCAATCTTCCCACCTTGGCCTCCTGAGTAACTGGGACTACTGGTGTGTGCCACCTTGCCTAGATAATTTTTAAATTTTTATTTATTTATTTATTTTTGCAGAGATAAGGGCTTACTATGTGGCACAGGGTCTCACTATGTTGAGGCCAGGAGTTCTCTTGCCACTGTACCTGGCCTCTTTTTATATTCAGATCTCATGGATGCCACATTTGAAATCATTTAGTATTAGTACATGGTGGTTCTGGAGTTTTATCTTTTGACTTACATGTTTTATATAATCATAATAGTTAATTGAAGATTCAAGAAACCATTTATAGGTTGAATATCAAGATAGTCATTAGAAGCAGATTATAGACTTCATGATAGTTATACTTGGGAAATGGAGTAATTAGGTAACTCCGGTATTCTAATGCACCCCTGAAATGTGTAAGTATAATTTATTCTCCGTATATTTCCCATTTAAAGGAGTTAGGAATCTTTCTCTCTTCTTCTAAGCAGTGATACAATTCTAGCTGCGAGTGTTTTGGGTCCTTCATGGAGACTAAAGGGTACAATTGGCCAAGAGAAATTAATTTTCTTTTTAAAACATTTTTAGGTGGCCTTTTCATCTTTAAATCTGTTACTACAAACGCAAGCTCTTCTCTCTTCTATTACTTACCTCACAAACATCATTCCATCAGATGATCAAAATATGGGTGTTGCCAAGGAGGTACACATTTCACCTGAAAAGCAACAAAAAAATTCAACTGTGCAGAAAGGTATGAAAAGCATAGGGTTTTAGAATTCTATAGTTAAATGAGGACTGTTAGAGATCATATAATTCAGTTATTTAAATGCCATTTTCGCTCATTCTGCCCTTAAAATTAAATTGTATGTGGGTATCTGATATATAAGCCAAATGTAGTCAATACTATATTTATTCTTTTTTTTGGTGGTGGAAAGGGCTACCTTTAGGTAGGTATTAGGGGAAGAAGGCATGTACTTATGTTGAGCTCTTCCTCCTCTCTCAGTGTCTCCTGCAGGGGCTTTATAGAGTGTTTGTCTTCCCTTTCATTTTCCTTAATTTCTTAAGAAAATTAACACTCAGACATATGAAGGTAGGGCTGCAGGGGTAGTGTCTAATTGGCCAAGGACCCAGGTTTTAGATCAAAGTTCAAATCCTGATTCTGCTATTTAAACTTGGCATATGATTTAACATTTCTGAGTTTCAGTGTGTTTATTTACTTTATTTTAGAATTTTTTTCTTTTAAATTACAAAAGTAATATACCCCACTGTTAAAAATGCAAACTCTACAGAATATGTGAAGCAGAAAAAAGTATTTGAAATCTTTAAGATTTTGAGAATTTTATATAATTTTTTTTTTAACATAATAGTGGTTCACTTGTTATAGGAAAGAAACCTTAAGAGTTTAGATTACTGGAATTGTACTGTGATAAAATGCTTTGTTTATTTTTAGTGATTGTGTCCTCTCAAGAGAATGACATTATTGGCTTCAGGCTGTTAGCCAAGTTAAATGCTTTTTGTGTTGTCATTTGCAATGAAAAGATCAATATTGCCGAAATCAAAATTCAAGGTAAGAATTCTCATGGTATTAAAATTGGTGAAAATGTAAGTTTGTCTTTTCCTTTATTTTTTTCTTTGCAGTTCTAGAAATATACAGATAAAGGGCTCTGAGCTGTGAAAACTCAAGGGATGTATTTGAACTATATTGCATGGTATTGAAATTGGTGAAAAGATAAGATTTTCTTCCCTTTTTTTTCTTTGCAGTGCTAAGGAACATACAAATAGAGGGCTCTGAGTTGTGAGAGTTCTAAGGTTGTAATGGAACATTTGCTTTCTTCTTTTGGGGGAATAGATATTGGTCAGAATTAGACCAAGCTAATTGAACCCCACACACTCTGGTCTTGGGATCTTCCTAAGAGTTCTTTAGGAGGTGGATATTGATGTCAGTGCAGGAATGTTGTTGATGGGCTGGGAGAAGGGTCAGTCCAGAATTCAGGCGAGGGTCTATGGATTTGCTTCATTTTTCTAATATTGTATTTAAAAAAAAAAATCTGTTTTTTACTTTGATTTTTTTTTTTTTTTTGAGTTGAAGTCTCACTCTGTCAGCCAGACTGGAGTGCAGTGGTAGTAGCCTCAACCTGCTGGACTCCAGCGATCCATCCGCCTCAGCCTTCCAAGTAGCTGGAACTACAGGCGCGTGCTACTACACCCAGCTATTTTTGATTTACTGTAGAGATGAGGGCTCACCAAGTTGCCCAGGCGGGTCTTGATCCCGCGGGCTCAGGCAATCCACTCACCTCAGCCTCCCAAGGTGTGAGATTACAGGCTGAGCCACCGAGCCTGGCTTACTTTGATATTTTATATATAATTATATAATTATACATTATATTTATCTCTATTATTTTTTATTTTTATGAGAAATAGTCTTTTAATGAAGAACTAAATCTGTAAGCTCATTATGTTCTTTTAAGCAAAAGCCGTTAAAACTCATGTAGCTTTTCCTCTGGCCTTATCTTTACCAGTGTGTTGTGGTCTGGCAATCTAGTCAACATAAAGAATATGTTAAGTGAAATTCGTGAAGAACTTAAAAACCAGTAAGCTAGGGCCTTTTTTTCTTTGTCCTTTCCAAACTGGCACAGCATCTACTCATCTGAATTTCGTCTGTGAAATTTTATAGCTTCCATGTAAATGCCTGGATATAAAATATAAAGGATCTTCTTGAATCCTAAGATAATTTAATTGTCCTAGGTATAGTTTGTTTCTGAAGATTGAAAATTCAGATAATTATTGTTTAAATGAATTTGTGGGTTTTGGTGTTTGTAAAACTGAAAAAAATCTAATATTGCAACTTAATTATCAATTAGGAATTCAGACACTGCTAAATTTTTAAAAATATCCACAAATAAAATCATGCAATGCAAAGAAAGATCTTGTTTATGGTAGATCTATAGAAATTATAATAATGCAATTTTTTTTCAGGCCTCAATTCTTCTCTTTCTCTTCAGTCAAGAAAACAGTCCTTTTTTGCCCGACTTGAAAATATTATTGTCACAGATGTTGATCCTAAGACTGTTCATAAAAAAGTAGGTGATAGTAAATAGATAGTTGATATGTTTTCGTGGTAAATGTGTGATTCTATTTTAAAATTTATTTTATAAAAGTAATAAAATTTACTTTACAGAAAAATTTTTTCATAAAGATTATAAATACAAACCATTTTCTAAATGGAATTTTATTTTGTCATTACCTTCTGAGAGAGAGTATGTTCAAATCTCTGTTTTTCAGGCTGTGTCAATAATGGGGAATGAAGTTTTTCGTTTTAACTTGGATTTGTATCCAGATGCTACTGAAGGGGATTCATATACTGACATGTCGAAAGTGGATGGTGTGCTGTCACTGAATGTTGGCTGTATTCAGCTTGTCTACCTTCATAAATTTCTTATGTCACTTCTGGTAAGATCATTATATATATTGATTTTTTAACTTAGGAATGCCTAAATAGTTCTGATAATTAGGATTGCAAATGTATAACTTTGGGTTTTGAAGGAGCGTTGTTTTGATTATAGATGGTATGAATGATGTAGTGGTTGAAACCACTGGTTACTAGTTGAAATCTGAATCATTTAATGATTTTTGTCTAGAACAAATTGTTTTTGCTATAATATAATGAAGTCACATTTTTGTGTACGAAAATTAGTGAAAGTTTTTTTTCTCTGTTCCTTAGCCATATAACATTAACCTAGGTCAGGCAGCTTATATCTATGAATGGATTATCAGTAATTTCTTCCTACTTTTAGAAAAATAGGAATCAACTGAAAGTTGTCTATTGGAAATAAAATTGGCACATGTATAAAAGAATATGGTATTATTATTTATGTTCAATATCAATCTCATACCAGATGTTGTTTGATGACTGGAAGTCTTCTGTTTGAATTTCGCTGTTTATACTTTATGTCCATAGACCTTCCTGAATAATTTCCAGACAGCCAAAGAGTCTCTCAGTGCTGCCACTGCCCAAGCTGCAGAAAAAGCTGCCACAAGTGTGAAAGATCTGGCCCAGAGAAGTTTTCGTGTTTCCATCAATATTGATTTGAAAGCACCAGTTATAGTCATCCCTCAGTCTTCCATTTCCACCAGTGCAGTAGTGGTCGATCTTGGGTTAATCAGAGTTCAAAATCAGTTCAGTCTGGTGTCTTGTGAAGAATACTTAAATCCTCCAGTAATTGATAGAATGGATGTGCAGCTAACAAAGCTTACCCTTTCTAGGTATGCTCTTTTCATAAAAATTATGGATTAAAATATGTTCAATTTTTTTTGTTACCCTTTCTAGGTATGCTCTTTTCATAAAAATTATGGATTAAAATATGTTCAATGTTTTTTGTGAAATTTTATGATCATTTAAATTCATATTCATCAAGGTAAAGGAATGAGACAAAATATTCCTTGTAAATGAAAACCAGAAACAAGCAGGCGAAGCTCTTCTCATATCAGATAAACCATTAATTATAGACTCAGTTTTGAAGACATTCGAACAAAACGTTTGAATCATTATTTAAAGTAGCAATAACTACTTGTTTTTTTTTTAATATGTTGCATTTCCCCCCATATTTATGTGTATGTATCATTTCTTCATTAGGACAGTGATCCAGCCAGGCACCTCCCATCCTGATATCCAGCTTTTGCACCCAATTAACTTGGAGTTTTTTGTAAATCGGAATTTGTCTGCATCTTGGTATCACAAGATTCCTGTTGTGGAAATTAAAGGACATCTTGATTCAATGATTGTAAGTCTATGAATGAAAAAAATAACTTTGTTATTGAAATTTTGAACTCTGAAGGCTTTGTCAGTAGAAATAAAAATGAAATGAATTTTTTACTGAAATTATTAATAATTTTAGTTAAACGTCCAAGAGGATTATTATTATTTTCAGTAGAATTTACGTTTTAGGTATGTGCTACTTAACTTTTAAATTTGCTGTACATATACGTTGGTAGGTGTCTCTATGCAGATTATTTATTAGTTTATTATACTATATCTCATATATGCACGTTTTTATTTTTAGGGATATCTAAGTACCCCTAAGATAACTATAGCATTGAGAAAAATGCCAATTTTTGTATTGAAGACAAACATTTTATTTCATTGAAATTATTTTTTTAAAAAGCAGAATTCATGCATTTTCTGGATTTGTCACATGTAAAACATGATCAGATTTCTTTGGTTATAATAAAATTTCTCTAAAGATGGTATAAGTTCAGTCAGTGGAGCTAATGTTGACTCATAAATTATATTACTTTTCTATAAATTTTTTTATCTTTGAAAATAAAAATTTTAACATGAAGTTAGTAGTGTAATACTTGGGTAGATATTATTTATATCACTTTTCAGTCAGTGTTAGTATTATTCTGTTGCTTGTATTTTGTTGCTGGGAATTTGTTTTCTGTATTAAAATGGTTTCATTGTAAAATGTAATATATTTATCTTTTAACACAATATTTCACAGGTTAGTCTAAATCAAGAAGATCTTAATCTTTTATTTAGGATATTAGCAGAAAATCTTGGCGAGACTACTGAGGACATGGATAAAGTGAAACCAAGAGCACAGGAGACAGGTGAGAGGCTAACAGTAGGTGGCATAGTATATGGGTCTACTTATTTTGCAATTTAGTAGAGAGATAGGCAATAAAAATGAAGTAAAGAAATATATACTTACAAATTGTGATTTGTATTACCAAGAAAACAAACAAGATGCTATTGAATGAAATTGTAGTTGGAGATGATTGATTCTTTTTAGTTAAACAGTCAGTCAGAGTTTCCAGACTTTTTTCTAAGTTGCATGAGTTGAGAGGAAACCATAAAGAATGACTTCAGATCAGTAGTGGATTCTGGAATAATCACTGAATTTGCATTTGTGGAGAAAACCATTTTGAGCTGGCAGTAGGTTATGGTGGGCTTATCTTTCTGATTTTTAAATAAAGCTTAGTAGTAAAATGTCTATAAGAATTGGATTGGCTGATAAATTACCACTTCCCAAAGAAACTAAACAGATTATACTGAAATAAAAATGCAAAGATATTTAAATTATTAGTTACGGTGACCCTTTTGACTTAAAGACAAAGTAACTACCAGAACTCTTTTTTAAGCTAATATATATGTATGTTTATATAACATATGCACACATACACAAGGTTATAATCTATAGTTTTTCAAACAAATATTATCATATATATGTGCATTTATGTGTGCACTTTGTTTTTTAAAAAATTGATAGTGTATCTTGGTGTTCATTCTGTATCTGTAGACATGTATAAATCTTCATTCTTTTTAGTGGTTATGTGGTATTCAATTCTTTTGAAGTATAATAATTTATTTAGCAAGTCCTTAGTGATAGACATTATGGATTGTTTTCAGTCTTTCACTGTTCCCATGTTTCATTGACCATACTTGTACATACACTTTTATAAGTACATGCATATCTGTAGGATAATACTTGTTAAAGGGCACATTATTTTTATTAATTTAATCTAAACTCAATAATTTGAGCAAATACATTTAAGACAATTAATTTAAAATTTTGACAGATTTAGCTGATTGCCCTTTATGGAACTTGTACTAATTTTCACCTCCACCAGGTTGTTTTTCTGTATCTTTCTATTGCAGCATGTCATCAGATTTTAAAAATTTTGTTCATGTGCTAAGTGAAAAATGGTACCTCAATGTATTTTTACTATTAAAAAACTATTTTACTGATGCTAATACAATAGTGAAGTAAACAAATCTTAAGTGTACAAGCTATTAAACTTTTACATATGGATACTCCTTTGCAATCGCCACGATCAAGATATAATACATTTTCAGCTCCCCAGAAGGCCTCTCTCTTGCCCTTCTTCAGCCAGTTCTCAACACTCCCTCTGCAAATTCACCCAGAAGTAACTACCATTTTAACTTTTAGTAGATTGGTTAGGTTTGCCTCTTTTTGAATTTCTTATAAATGGAACCATACAGAATACTCTTGGTGTTAAATGGCTTCTTTCACTTAACATTTGTTTGTGAGATTCGTTCATATAGCTGTAAGTAGCAGTAGTTTGTTCTTTTTATTCCTGTGCAGCATTTAATTATAATGAATGTGTCAAAATTTATTTATCCATTTGTCTTTTATGAACATTTGGGTTATTTCCAGTTTGTGGCTGTGAAAGTGTTTATGAAAGTTAATTGTATGTGTCTTTTGATATACATATATACTCTTTTTTGATATATAGAATTACTGAGTCATATTTAGATTTGCATTTAACTTCAGTAACTTACACCAAATTATACCAAACAATTTTCCAAGTGGTTGTACTAATTAACTTTCCTACCAGCAAAGTATGAGAGTTCTAGTTGTTTTTCCTTCTCACCAGTACTTAGAACGGTCAATTTTTAAAAATTTAGCCATTCAAGTAGATACACAGTGGCGTCTCTCTATGGTTTTTATTTGATCCCTGATTGCTAATGATGTTGAGCACTTTCTGGTTATTTTGTTTATTGGCCATTTGAGTATCTGCTCTTGTGACATAATTACTCAAGTCTGTTGACTGTTATTTCTTGTTTTTTTTGTTTTGTTTTTTTTGAGTTGGAGTCTCACTCTGTCGCCCAGACTGGAGTGCAGTGGCCGCTCCTGGCCACCGACTGTTATTTCTACTGAGGTGTTGGTCTTTTTTTCTTATTGATATGTAGGAGTTTGTACATTCTGAATACATGTCCTTTGTTGATTATATGTGTTATATGCAGTGGGTTAGTGTATGTGTATAAATATCCTTTTCCCTGCTATGGTTTGCCCTGAATTCTTTTTTTTTTGAGTTGGAGTCTCACTCTGTCGTCCAGACTGGCGTGCAGTGGCTGCTCCCAGCCACCGCAGCCTCAACCTGCTGGGCTCCGGCGATCCTTCCTCCTCAGCCTTTCGAGTAACCGGAATTACAGGCACGCGCTACCACGCCCAACTAATTTTTTGATTTACTGTAGAGATGAGGTCTCGCTGCCGAGGCGGGTCTGGAATCCGCGGGCTCAGGCAATCCACTCACCTCAGCCTCCCAAAGGTGCAGGAGCCACCGAGTCCGGCTTGCCCTGAATTCTTTTAATGGTTTTTTAAAATAGAATTTGTTAATATCAATACACTTTAATTTACTACCTTTTTAAGTGATACTAGTCTAAGAATTGTTTTGTAAAAGCTGAATATTTACTATAATTATTTCTTCTGGCTCACGTGGTGTTTAGAATGGTGCTGGAACAAGATGATAGCTAAGAAACTGCCGGCCGGGCTCGGTGGCTCAGCCTGTAATCCCAGCGCTTTGGGAGGCTGAGGTGAGTGAATTGCCTGAGCCCGTGGGTTTGAGACCCGCCTGGGCAACTTGGCGAGACCTCATCTCTACAATAAATAAAAAATTATTTGGGCGTGGTAGCACGCGCCTGTCATTCCAGCTGCTTGGAAGGCTGAGGCGGAAGGATCGCCGGAGCCCAGCAGCTCGAGGCTGCAGTGGCCAGCAGCGGCCACTGCACTCCAGCCTGAGTGACAGGGTGAGACTCCAACTCAAAAAACAAAACAAAACAAAAGAAACTGCCCTATGCATTACTTTCTTGAAGTGAATAATTAACAGCAGTGGTTTTCCGCATGGATTTCTGGTATGGTTTATACTGCAGAATTCCTTTGTGTTGTACTAGTGGTCAACATAATGTTAACTGAAATAATGGTAATGGCTAGTTTAGTGATACTGAGGGACAGTAGAGAGTGAAGGCTGTATGCTGAGGCTGATGAATTTAGACTCCACCGTTTGTGTGACACTGGACAAGGTACTGAATCTGTGCTCTGTGGCTCATCGGTTAAATAAGGACAAAAAAGTTCTTACCTCAAAGGGATGTCATAAGAATTAAATAGGACCATGCAGAGCCCTTAGAACAGTGTCTGGTACACAGGTAAACACCTATGAGAGCTGCATTATTTTTGTTTATTACAGTTTGGAATGTAGTTTTCTTATATCTTATAGGGTATGTGAATTTCAGAAAAACAGCATCCTAGTTATATTGCTTTACTTTTGTTTCTTTGTGTTGCATAAGAGACCTTAACCTTTCGTCCCCTGTTTCTTTTCTACTTTTGCCTCTTGCTAGACTCCTCATGACTTAACCATGTCAAACTCCATTTTCAAAACTGTCATGTGTTATCACTCTTTGGCTTTTCATAGTCTCCTATGTTTTTCTTGGAATGTCTGCTCTGTGTGATGAGGTCCTTCAGCTCTACTTGAATGATACCTCCTCTATCAGGCCTTTCTTATAACAGTGTCTTGCCTTGTTCTGTGCTTTCAGTGCATTTTATGTCGAGTCTATTAACATTTGTACATTTAATGTGACTAGGTGTGGTCTGTTTATTTTTCTTGTTTATGTTTAAATGTATATATCTCTTCTACTAAACTATGAGTTTTCTAAGGGCTGGAGCTATTACTGACACACAGATTTTTAGTGCCTGTCATTCACCAGGTCCAAAATACTTACAGAAGTCCACAGTAAGTGTCTGTGGAAGCAATGTGTGAATAAAAGTGAATGAATTTCTTTTAAACATTTTTAGGTGAAATTAAAGAGCCCTTTGAAATCTCTGTATCACAACAAGATGTGCATGCTTCAAAAGATACTTTTACAACTGGAGTGGAAGAATTTAGATCTGTAGACATCATTAACATGCTGCTGAATTTTGAAATTAAAGAGGTGTGTAATTTTCATCTGTTTTTGTAAAGTGAAATGAATAAATAATGAATATTTGGCATTACCTCTACTAAGGTAAATTTGTAGATAATTGATACAGATTTTTAAAATCTTATATAGGCTGCTTACATTTTACAGTAATCTTTTAAAATTTGAAAATTTGTTAAGGATGATATATTTGGAAAATGTAGTATTTCATAGAGAAAACGGTAGCATGTCCTATAACATACTTTTTAAAAATTTTAGGACAGTAGGAATGTGGCTTGCTTTGGGTTTCATATAAGTCAGAAAAGTGACAGAGAAATTCTTTACAAATTTTAGAGCCCTTAATAGAATAAAACACAATGGAGTTCCACTTAAAAAAATATTACATTACTTTCATATGCTTGCTGTCTTCAGATTCTTGAGGAAAGATTAAATGAATTTTCCTCTTTATTCACACATTCAGCAAATATTTATTGTACGTGCTGGGTGGTAAGGATGCAGAAGTAAAAGGCATAGACTGTGAACAAACGAAATTTTTCTAAGTGTTCCCCTGAAAACTCTGCTCAGGTACTACTAGAGCTTGTGGTATTGATGTTAGGGAGAGGGCATCTAAGCAGAATGGGAGGATCAGGAAATAGTTCCTGGAGGAAGTGACATTTGAGTCAAATTTTTAAAGAAAAATAAGATACTAGCTGAGAAAAGGGGATCAGGAAAGAGCCTGGGGCAGGGTAGAAAGAAGAACAAGCATTAAAGTATGAATATGTGAAAAATGTGGATACAGGTGCTTGCAAGGACTTCCTCTAAAATTCCTTCATTATGAAATGGTTTTATAGAATTGTATGCTCTTTCTTCAAACTAAAAATAATCATTGTACAAATAGATTCTACTTTTTTGATCTGAAATACATGCTTTGAAACTAACTTCTTTCATGTTAAAAGCTCTGATAATCAGAGTTACTGAAGATTTACTCTTTGATAATGGAAATGTTGATAGGTGAATCATTCCATTTGCAAATATACTTAATTAACATGTGTACATAGACGACCCATACATCTTTAAAATATTATTTATAATACATATTATGATAGGTCCCTTTACTTAGGACAGTATTTAGATAAAGGAGGTGCAGTCTGTAACCCTCTACCAAGTGGATATTTGACATTGTCTGAGAACATTCTCGGTTGACATGACATGGGGAGGGGCTGATGGTAGCTAGTGGGCAGAAGCAGAAGTGCTGCCGGATGCCCTGCCTGCACAGGATGGGCCTGTGCCTGAGGAGCAGTTGACTGTTAGCCTCACAGGCTTTCACATGCAAGACCATGCATCACACTGCTGGAATTAAGTGGAGCTGTGGTTTTTGTTCTTGGTACTTTACATTTGAAAATCACTAGAATAGTGCTGATGCTTCAGAAGTCTGAACAACAACAACAAAAAAGCCTGAACACATAAGTATGCCTTCTAAGGAATATAACTTTCAGGCATAAGTAGAAGTAAACAGCTTTACATTGTGTGTGAATTTCTTGCTTATATCATTCTAGGTGATTATAAAATTATTGACTTGTCTTCTTTAGTGAAGTAGTTTGTGGTAATACTGGTGCCTTCTTTTAGGTTGTGGTTACTTTGATGAAAAAAACAGGAGCAAAAGGAAGGCCTTTACATGACCTTAGTGTCCTACAGCTTGGAGTGGAAGCTAGAGTTAAAACCTATGATGTGACAGCTAAGGCATATCTAAAAAAAATTGGTATGCGATGCTATGATTTCACTGGTAAGTGTGAAGCATCATCTGTGTAAATTATTCATCAGGCAGATGGTCCCTACCTTTTTATCAGCATTAACGTATTTTTTTATGTCACCAGAATTATTTAGTTAAATTACTACACTGATCAAAAGAATGTGATATTTTGAAATTATTATCTTATGTAATTATTCATCATAAATGATTAATAAATATATATATTTGACATTAAGGAGAATATGTCTAAAAAAAGAAGACACATTGTACCTTGTAGTCTCACATCTTTCTCCTAAAATAAAGTGAACTTGTATTTACCTTGTTGTTTTTATACAGGCAAACTTGTATTGAGAATAATGCCTGGTTTGTGTGTTTTATAGGTTCTTTAATATATTATGATTTGTCTACATTGAGAATATTACAGTAGTACCAGATGTTATGCCAGTAGCAATTGGCAGGTGTGAGTTTTATTGTGTTTATGGGGTTTCGATTTTTCAAAGTCAAGTTTATTGAGGTATGATTTATTTGCAGTGTAGTTCATTCTTTTTAGTGTACAGTTCTATGAATTTGACAGACATGCATTTGTGTCTGTCCTGTTTTATCTCATTTATTTATTTATTTATTTTTTTGAGTTGGAGTCTCACTCTGTCGCCCAGACTGGAGTGCAGTGGCCGCTCCTGGCCACTGCAGCCTCGACCTGCTGGGCTCTGGTGATCCTTCCGCCTCAGCCTTCCAAGCAGCCGGAACTACAGGCATGCACATCATACCCGGCTGATTTTTTGATTTATTGTAGAGATGAGGTCTTGCTGCCCAGGCGGGTCTCGAACCTGCGGGCTCAGGCAATCCACTCACCTCAGCCTCCCAAAGGTGCAGGATTACAGGCTGAGCCACCGAGCCCGGCTTGTCCTGTTTTAAAACATGTTTGAAATGTTTAAGAGACATGATAGATCAGCCTTGTCTTTTTCTGTTTTAGACTCTAATGGAGAACCTCTTCACGTTATTAACTCTTCTAATGTGACTGATGAACCCCTTCTCAAAATGTTATTTACAAAGGTACCTAGTTTCATTTCTTTAATTTTTGAATATGTGTGTGTATTACCCTCTTATATCACATTCCAATTTTCTCTCCAAAATTTTGTATTCTAAACTGGTTGTAGAAAATTATGCAAGCTTATGAAAATGCTGAATACTTTCATTAACTTTCTGAGATACCCTGTGATGTTGAATAAATTAGAATAACACAAAGGTCCATTGTAATCCAAAGTAAAGTGTGTTATACTCTAGATATACTACCATATTTTTTTCCTACTGTTTAGATTAGTGTACCTAATCTAGGTATACTAGCATATCCTCCAGGGTAAGATAGAGAATTTGAGTTTTTGCTTCTATAAAATGTGAGAAATGCTATATGGTCAGTTTTTTTTGGTGTGCATGTTCTTACTTGCCCTTTAGGAATATATTTATATTGTTTTAATAGCATATTTTAAAAAGTAAAGAATGTTATCTTCAGTATGTGAACGTTTAACATTTGTAACCCAGTGGCTTAATTCTTCCCTATTTGTAGGCAGACAGTGATGGACCAGAATTTACAACCATTCATGACAACACCAAACAGCGATTGAAGGTAAATCTTATAGAGTTTACTGTAAGACTGTGAATTGTGTTTATTAACTTTAGCTTCATAGCCATGTTATTTGTGAGATTGTGCACTTTAAAATTAGAATAAAGGGGACAACAATAATAGATATAATTTGTAGACAAAATAAATAGGTATGGAATTGAAATAAAGTTCTTACAAAAAGTTAGTTTGAGTTCCTAAAAGATGATTTGTTTCCCAGATGTGAATTGTGATTACTTGATAATATGAATAATACATTTAGAGGAAATCATGTTAATGTTAGTCCACTGTGGTTATTTGGCTTAACGTTGATGGAAGCATTAAGCATTTGAATTAGGTACTGGCGTTAGAATTGGAATAAGGACAAGGATAAAGCATGGTCTAGTATAGACGTTTCTCATAACTCATTTAAGCATATATGGTCAGGTTTGGAGCCCTTGAAATGTGGCTTATATATCTTTACTCAAACTCATCAAATTCTGTTGAGGTTAGAATTGTGGTAGCAAATGGTAGTGTGCAGAATGTTGGCTTATTGACTGATAAGGATTAGCATTGTAATAGTGAATACTTTTTAAAAGAAACTAAAGTTTAAAAAAGGCCCTTAGTTGAACTTTTCTTGTGCTATTTGTATCTGTTAAAGAGTGACATAAAAATGTTATTAAACCTAAAATCTCTCTCTCTAATTGTTCATTATCATAGGTTTCATTTTCATCCTTAGACTTAGTACTTCATCTGGAAGCTTTACTTTCCTTCATGGATTTTTTATCATCTGCCAATCCATCCTCTGAACCTTCTTCTGAAAAGGAATCTGAATTGAAACCACTCGTTGGGGAGTCCAGAAGTCTCATTGTCAAAGCTGGTATTTATTCTTGAGTCATGGCTAATACTTTCTACCTACCTGAACTTTAAGAATCATAAAATAACTTGTTTTTTTGAGCTAAGATAATTTTTAGCACTTTGACATTATAGCTGCTCTGATAGATTAGGTTTGTTTCAAGAGAAAGCAAATGTTATCTCTGTGGGACTATCATGCAGTTCAGTGAGGGTTTTCAAGTAAGTGTGTTTAAATATTAATCATGAATTTGTATTTCATTTAACTGTCTAGCTTTTACATAAAATAGTTGCATATACTTGTGTTTGAAGTCTTCAGTTGATTGAAAGTGAGAGAGGATGAAATTATGGATACAACTGTACATAGTAACAAAGGCCCATTTCAGTTAGTCAAGTAGACTTACCTGGTGCTCAACAATTTTAAGTGCTTTGTGGGACACTGAAGGGAGAGATCTCATGGAAGAGATAGGATCACTTTGACTTCTAACCAAAACTGTATTGAGATTACACACAGTTATGGGCACATGTTCCCTGGCATATGATTCTTGTTATGAAATGGTAGGTAGGAAGTATCTGGTATGAATAAAGAATATGTGCCTGTTTTTAAGACAAATGTCGATGTAGTTATTTTTCTTTTATGTTATATGATGTAAATATTTAACATCTGGTAACTTAATTTTCAGACCATTAATTTTGAGACCATTTTGAGTGATTTGTATATTATTGGCACTTCACTGTAAAACTGTCAGTACCATTAGATCTGATACGAGGATCTGATTTTTTTAAAAAACCATGGATTAGAGCAACAATTTTGTTATAAACTAGAGTCAAGAAGTTTAACCTTCTTTGCTGTTAATGTACCTGTCACATTAATGTCTTTAGAAATATATAATCTTTATATAATATATGTAATACATACACAGTTGAATAAAGGAAAAGGCAGTTAACCTAACAGTAAACTACAAATAATATTAATCCAAAGAAACAGTCTTTTTATTTTGCTAGATGGTGGGTCCTGATGGTTTGAATATGCTACATTAAATATTAAAGGAAAAATTCACCTATCATCATATTAGTGATTAGGATGATATTCTTCATGCTTTTGCAGTTTTACAGGAAGGGTCTGTTTACTTCAGGGAAGACAAATTTCTAGGAAAACATTACAGAATTTATCAATCAGGATCTGGATTAAAGTTGATGTAGGGAATACATTTAATTGTGGGCTTTTTGTTTCCTTTATTTATTTATTATTTTTATTATGATATTGTGGGGTACAGTTAAGGGTTAGGTATACAAATACGTTTTGTTCAGGCACCTTTGTTGATAAGAGGTGTTTCCCCTTCCCCAGACAGATATTTGCTACTGTTAATCCCATCTCCCTCCCCCACTAGTTTCCCATGACTGTCACTCATTTTCTTATAGTATTAAATTGGATGTTCAAGGTCCATTATATGAGTGAAAACATGTGATACTCGGATCTTTGTTTCTGTGAGAGGTCACTCAGTATTATAGACTCTAGTTCCATCCAGGTTGCTGTGAAATTCATGATTTTGTTCCTTTTTATGGCTGTGTAGTATTCCATCATGTATATGTACCACATTTTTTTAATCCAGTCCTTTTTTGATGGGCAGCATGGTTGCTTCCAGGTTCTTACTATTGTGAACAATGCTGCGATAAACATATGTGTGCAGGTATCTTTTTTATATAGTGATTTGAGTTCTTCAGGGTATATTCCCAGTAGGGGAATTGCAGGATCATATGGGAGGTTGATATTTAGAGCTTTCAGGACTCACCACATTGCATTCCACAGAGGTTGCACTAGTTTACACTCCCACCAACAGTGTAGAAGTGTTCCCTTCTCGCCACACCCTCTCCAGCAGCTATTATTTTTTGAGTTGTTGATAATTGCCATTCTGACTGGAGTTAGGTGGTATCTCAGTGTGGTTTTGATTTGCATCTCTCTGATGATTAGTGAGTTTGAACATTTCTTCTTGTGTCTGTTGGCTGCTCAGATGTCTTCCTTTGTGAAGTGTCTGTTCATATCTTTTGCACATTTTATAATAGGGTTGTTTGTTCTTTTCAGCGCCTTTGAGTTCCTTGTAGATCCAAGATGTTAAGCCTTTGTCAGACCTGGTGTTGGCAAATACTTTTTCCCAGTCTGTAGGCTGTCTCCCTGCTCTCTTGATGGTTTCTTTGGCTTTGCAGAAGCTTGTCAGTTTAATGAGGTCCCACTTGTCTATCTTATCTCTTATGGCCTGTGGGTTTCGGGTTTTGTTCAGGAATTGGATGCCAGTTCCGATTTCCATGAGGGTATGTCCTTCATTTTCTAAGGTTATTATGGTTTGAGGTTTTACATTTAGGTCTCTGATCCATTTGGAGTTAATTTTTGTGTATGGGGATAGATAGGGGTCCCATTTTAATCTTCTGCATGTGGTCAGCCAGTTTTCCCAGCACCATTTACTGAATAGGTTCTCCTCTCCCCAGTGGTAGGTGGTGGAGGCTTTGTCGAAGATGAGTTCGTTGAGAAATTGAGGTTTTGCTTCTGGAATCTCAATTCTATTCCATTGATCTATATGCCTTTTCCTATACCAATACCAAGCTATTCTGATGATTGTAGCTTTATAGTAAAGTTTGAAGTCTGGTAATGTGATACTATCTGCTTTGTTTTTTTTGCTGAGGATTGTTCTGGCTATTCTTGGACGTTTGTGTTTCCATATGAATTCCTGTGTTGTTTTTTCTAGGTCTGATAAGAATGTTGCTGGTAATTTAATAGGTATTGCATTGAACCTGTACATTGCCTTAGGAAAGATGGACATCTTCACAATGTTGATTCTTCCAATCCATGAGCATGGGATATTTTCCCACTTGTTTGTGTCATCTTTGATTTTTTTGGGCAGTGTTTTGTAGTTTTCATTGTAAAGGTCTTTCACGTCTCTGGTTAGGAAGATGCCAAGGTATTTCATTTTTTTTGTGGCTATTGTGAATGGAATTGTGTTTTTTATTTGGGTTTCTGTTTATTATTGGTGTAAAGAAGTGCGATTGTCTTTTGCACATTTATTTTGTATCCTGAGACTTGGCCAAAGGCCTTTATCAGTGTAAGGAGGTTTTTGACACGTTCTCTTGGGTTTTCAAGGTACACAATCATATCGTCTGCAAAGAGAGATAACTTGACTTCCTGTTTTCCTATTTGGATACCCTGATTGCCTTCTCTTCTCTGATTGCTTGAGCCAGTACTTCCAATACTATGTAGAACAGGAGGGGTGAGAGTGAGCATCCTTGTCTTGTTGCAGTTTTCAGGGGAAAGGGTTCCAGTTTTTGTCCGTTTAGGAGTATGCTGGCTGTGGGTTTCTCGTAGATGGCTTTTACTATTTTGAGAAATTTTTGCCATATGCCTAGATGTTTGAGGGCTTTTATCAAGAAGGGGTACTGGATTTTAACAAAAACTTTTTCTGCATCTAATGATATAATCATGTGGTTTTTGTTTTGACATCTGTTGATGTATTTAATTACATTTATGGTTTTACGAATGTTGAACCAACCTTGCATCCCAGGTGTGAAACCTACTTGGTCATGATGGATGATTTTTGAGATGTATTGTTGAATCTGGTTTGCTGGTATCTTGTTGAGAATTTTAGCATCTATGTTCATTAAAGATATTGGCCTGTAGTTCTCTTTCTTTGTTGGATCTTTAACTGGCTTGGGTATCAATGTGATGTTGGCTTCGTAAAATGATTTGGGTAGAATTCCATCTTTTTTAATTGCCTGGAATACCTTCAGTAGGATTGTTACCAGCTCCTCCTTAAATGTCTTGTAGAATTTTGCTGGAAGGCCATCTGGACCAGGGCTTTTTTTTGTAGGTAGTTTTCTTATTATGTAGTCAATTTCCTTGATTGTTATTGGTCTATTTAGGGTATCAATTTCTTCTTGTTCCAACCTAGGTAGATTTTGTGATGTCAGAAAGTTCTCCATTTCCTTAAGGTTTTCAAGTTTGTTTCCATACAAGTGTACATAGTAGTCTCTAATGATCTTTTGTATTTCTTCAGGTCAGATGTGACTTCACCTTTTGTGTTTCTGATTGTGTTTATTTGGGTTTTTTCTCTTTTTTCCTTGGTCTTGTTTATCCTTTCGAAGAACCAGCTTTTTATTTCATTGATTTTTTGTATTATCTTTTTGTCTTCTATATCCTGGATTTGGGCTTTTATTTTGGTGATCTGGATTCTTCTGCTGAAATTAGGATTTTGTGGTCCTGCTTTTCCAGCTTCCTTAGGTGGCTTGTTAGGCTGTTAATTTGTGTTCCTTCCATTTTCTTCATGTGTGTTTGTGGGGATATAAATTCCCCTCTTACTACAGCTTTTAAGGCATCCCCGGGATTTTGGTAAGATGTTTCTTCATTTTCATTTGTGTCCAGGTATCTTTTGATCTCTGTTTTGATTTCATCATTGACCCAGGAGTTGTTTAGCATCATGCTGTTTAGTGTCCATGTCTTTGTGGGTTTTGGGGGGACCTAGGTGGTATTAATGTTTATTTTCATTCCACTGTGGTCCTAGAAGGTGCACTGTAGAATTTCGGTCCTTTTAAATTTGCTTATCCTTGATTTATGGCCAGTTATGTGGTCGATCTTAGAATACGTTCCATGCGGTGATGAGTAGAATGTGTATTCTGTGGTCTTTCGATGGAGTGTTCTGTAGGTATCAATTAAGTCCACTTGGTCCAGAGTCACATTGAGGTTCCGGATGTCCTTGCTGATTTTTTGTCCTGATGATCTGTTTAGGGTTGTGAGTGGGATATTAAAGTCCCCAGTTATGATGTTGTTAGAGTCGATATCTTTCTTTAGTTTTCCTAGAAGGTACTTTATGAAAGTTGGCGCACCTATGTTAGGTGCATATATGTTTAGGATAGATATTTCTTGTTGATGGAGTGAACCTTTTATCATTATGTAGTGGCCCTCTGTATCTTTTTTAATTTTTGATAGCTTAAATGGTATTTTGTCTGAAGTTAGAATTGCGACTCCTCCTTTCTTTTGTGTTCCATTTGCCTGAAAATTTGTTTCCCATCCTCTTCCTTTGAGTCTGTGTATGTCCTTTCTAGTGAAGTGGATCTCTTGAAGGCACTATATTGTTGCCTGGTGATATTTCATCCATTTTACCATTCTGTGTCTTTTCAGTGGTGCGTTTAGTTCATTCATATTCAGGCTAATTATTGAAATGTGAGAGTCCGTCCCTATCATAGAGTTCTTATAGAGTTGTTGTTCTTCCACTTGGCCTTTTTTTGTCTTTCTTTTGGTTTTGGGGTTGGTTCATGCATATTTTATTCTTTTTCCTGTACTCTTGTGAAGAACGTTGTTCTTTTTTCCTTTTCTTCTGTGTTTAGTACTTTCTTAAGTGTTTCATGTAGAGGTGGTTTGGTGGCAGCATAAGTTCTTAGGGATTGGATATCTGGGAAGGATTTTAATTCTCCCTCGCTGATGAAGCTTAGCTTGGCCAGGTAGGTTGTTCTTGGTTGAAATTTTCTATCTTTTAGGACTTTGAAGATAGGTCTCCAAGCTCTCCTAGCCTGCAGGGTTTCTGTAGATATATCTGCTGCTATTCTGATTGGTCTTCCATGGTAGGTGATCTGGCCTTTTTCTCTTGCTGCCTTTAGGATTGTTTCTTTTATGCCTACTTTGTTTAGGCGAATTATTATGTGTCTAGGAGTTGATCTTCTCATTTGTTGTGTTGCAGGGGTTCTCTGAATCTCTTGTGTTTGAATTTTTGCATCATTAATTAGATAAGGGAAGTTTTCTTGAATGATCTCATGGAAAGTTTGTTCCAGTGTGGTGTCTGTCTCTCTTTCTGCCTCAGGAAGGCCAATTACTCTTAGGTTCGGTCTCTTGAAGTAATTGCTCATCTCTTGAAGGTTTTGTTCTGTCTTTTGGAGCTTATTTTCTGTGTTTTTTATAGTTTGGCTTAGTTCTATACTTTGATCCTCAAGCTCTGAGATTCTTTCTTCTGCTTGGGTAATTTTGCTTTCAATGCTTATCAGTTTGTTATTTATTTCATTCACAGTATTCTTTTTTAGTGTTATCTCGGATATCAGCCCTTTCTAGTTTCTTCTTGTGTCTCCTCAATTCTTTTTAATCTCTCCATTAATGTCTTGATATCTAGGTTTGTAGTTTGAGACCCTTCATTCTGGGGGCTCTTCATTGTTTGCATTCCGAAGTCAGTTTTCTCAGTGTCTGCCCTCCCAGGGGTCTGGGAAAGACCCATAGTCTTCTTTTGGTTTTTCTTCATTTTTGTACATTTCCTCTCTCTCTCTCCCCCTTTCCCTCCCCTTCTTTAATTCTGTTTTTGGGGGAAGATGGGGTTGCTTTTATTTCTCTTCTGCTATATCCTGTTCTTCCTTATGAGGGTCTTCTGGCTTTGTTCACTTTTGAGGTTGGAGTGTAGGCTGCAATGTGTACTGTTTGCAGTTTTGAGGTTTAATTGAGGGGGAAGCTGTGGTTCAGAATGTATATGTTGATTCTAGCATCCACGAACAGGTGTATGAGCACAATGGAACGTATTTCCTTCTGCCTTACCATCTGTCCGTGTAGCAGTATGTAGTCTTGGTCCCTAGATTAAAATGGGGGTATAAAAAAGGAAAATAATTGAGAAAGGGGGGGTTAATAGAAAGTTAGAAGAGCGAGAGGGAAAACAGACATACATACCAACTATCAGGTGAGAAAGAGACACAAGGCCGGAAAGAAGTAAAAAAAGACACGTAAGAAAGATTCCCTAAAGAATACTGGTAGCTACACAGAGACAGACCAATATAATCATGAAATGGTGTAAGTCAGAAGGCAAACAACAAAAGTGATCAAAATAAACTGTCAAAATGATAAAATCATAAATCACAATAAGAGATCAGATTAAAAATCACTTCAGCTCTGATCTCTGGCCTCTTCCCTTTGTTTTTCATTGCCGGCATCTAGATTTACTCGCAGTTTGGGTTTGGCTGCCTGGGCGTTGCTTTTGTCTGATTCAGTGTAGGGTTGGGGCTTTTTCTCCTGTTTAGTGACGTTACTTTAGGAACCACGGTGGGGGTTGTTGTTAGGTGGGTGGAGCAATGGAAATCTCTTCCTGGAGAATGGCGGAGGCAGATTCTCTTTCGTAGATCCATTTCTCTCCGCTTGTCTGGGTCTCCAAGCTTGGGGTCACGCGCTGAGTGCCTCAGTCAGGATGGGCCCAGAGCTCCAGATCTCCAAGTCTCCAACAGGCAGGCAGTGAGTGGCGAGAGTGGCCCTGGGCCCCCCACAGGGTACTTCAGCCAGGAATGGGACCGGTGTCTCGAGGGGCGGATGCCCAGAGCCTCCCTGAGTGTCCGGCGTCTTGGTGCTGGTTGCTGGGCGAGACGATGTAGCCAGGGAATGAGCTGAGACCCGAGACTCCCACGCACGCGGTGGAACAGCAGCAGCAGGGGGCCGCAGTATCCGGCCCTGTGTGAGACCAAAGGTCCCTGGGCCTCGGGCCAGAGCGGCTGGTGGTGGGGGAAGAAAAGTAAGAGTCTTTTTGGGAACTCACGTTCGGAGAATCTCACAAGTCCACCTATGCCGTTGCCATCTTTCCGGGAGTGTCTATGCATCGGCCCCGTGCCGAGCTCCTTCCGATCCGCTTTTTGTTTCCTTATAGTACATCATGTACTTATATTTTAGTGGATTTGGCGTTATTGTGTGTGTTATATTTTCTGTGCCCTTTGCTAATCATAAGATTTCTGTTACTTTTTAGTATCCAGCAATGTTTCTGAAAACGATGTATTTGATTTAAAGATCATAGCTGAATTAAATGCATTTAATATCTTCGTCTGTGATCAGAAGTGTAACATTGCAGATATTAAAATACGTGGTAAGTAATTATTGTTGTAAGTCTTTCTGTTTCTTTTTATAAACATCCAGGAAAAATGATCTTGTACATAGTAGATTTCTCATGAGTCATCTTTTGGTTTACTTATATTGAAGACTTATGAAAGCTTTTCAAAGATATACTTTGAAATGCTAGAAGTAAATTTGTTATGATGAATTGCTGACTTGACACATTCCTTATGTATCTAAAAAAGTTTCAGAATAAATCTAAGTCTTAATCTCTTATTCCTGTCGCTGCATTTTCAGAATAATATTTTTAAGCTGAGAAATGAATATCATGGTAACACCTTACTGAGTGAAAATATGTCATTATCTTTGTTTCCTTTGTCTTTTGTGAATATATAGCATCAGAAAAAGAAACCTCTAAAAGAAATTTTGTATGTTTCTCCCATTATCAGCTTGATGTAAGAATGAGGCAGCATGGTATAGAGGTTCAGATTATACCATAGGTATGATAGAGTTATCTGGAGTCATCTTGCCAAGGTTCAAGTCATGACTCTAATACTGACTGACCTTGAACAAATTAATTTAACCTTTCTGTACCTTCATTCCTCTTCTGTAAAGTGGAGATACTAGTAATTATTGATAAAGTTGTTTAACGTTTATGCATTGGCGTATGTTTAGAACAGTCCTGTTATATAGTAAGCCGTTTTGTTAAAAGTTACAAAATCAGCTCTGTTCGGTATATATTATTGTGTATGGGATCATGACTGAATCTTAGCTTCAGATATTTGCTCTGTACTGAGGGGCAGTTGTAGTGACATTGTGCCTTTAGAAATTACAAGAATGAAGAGAAGGGAGGAAGAACCAAGATGGCCAGCGTGTGGAATAGCAGACCTGCACCTTTTTTGCCAAGCAAGACAGGGAGTAGAGACCCAGCTGCAGATAGATGAGACACCTTGAACACTTTGAACTAGTGAAACACCCTTCACCCAGCAATGGTCTCTTTGAACACATTGAGACCAGAAAGCAATGGCAGATGTGGGAATCTGGGTGTCTCATCCCCCGTCGTGCACTAGGCTCCCATAAGAACTGACGCCCTGCCTAGTGAATGAAAGTGGGTGAATGGGCCTAAGATGCTTTGGATTGGTTCAGCCTCTTCATCAGCATGTGAGTCACCAGTCCCACATGGGAGTAGTCCTGGGCACGGCATAGCAGTGGGCAACCACAGCCCAACCACAACAGGGAAAAAAACCTGCTTGATCAGCTGCCATGAATGGGGCTTCTGCTGGGCTGGCCAGCTCACAGGCAGGGAAAGCCCACCTGCATAGTGGACCTGGCTGGCATCCAGCAACGGTGGTCTTCTTCCCAGCCAGATCAGGAATAATCACATCCAAGCACCGCATGCTTGCAGGGTAGAGCCCAACTTCCTCTGCAACAGGGAACCCACTCTATTTTAAGAGCAGAGTGAGGACTTAAACAGGGAGGGAGTGACACTGAAGACACTGAAGGCTTTCCTGGTGGGAAGGCTTCCAGGATGCAAACTGCAGATAGCAGTTGGTGGGATACTGGTCCCACCAACCACTCTCTATAGAGTGCTAAGCAGCAGGACATGAAAATTAACCCAACTAGATTAACAGCAGGAGAGAATTCTACAGTAAAGAAAATTTCCCATAAGGTGGCACAAGAAGCAGTGAATGACCCACCCGCTCATACTGAGAGACCCAAATTGAGCCACAGAAAGAGACCTAGGACAGAAGGTCATTGAACAACTTCAGAGCAACAAATCAAAAGAGGAATAATAGAGAGGGAAGAGAAACCTATCACAAATGAGGAAAAATCAATGGAAAAATACAGACAAACCTCAGAGTCCTAAAGGGACAGTGTCTGAAAAAGCAGCTATTAGTGTACAAACAATGGAAACCCCCCAGAACAACCTACCCTGGAAGACAGACACTGAAATTAGAGAAGTTGGCAAAAGTTTACAGAAACCAAGGGAAACTAAAATCGAAACTCGCTGAAGTCATACAGGAAGTAAAGCAGAGTTGGTCAATTTCAGAAAAAGCCCATTATGAAATAATGGAAATGGAAAACTTCATTCTGGAAACTAAAAACACTGTAACAAGCATAGGGAGGAAGGTCAACCAGATAGAAGAAAGAATTTCAGAACTTGAAGACAAAAATATGGAATTAACTCAGTCCGTCCAAAACATTAAAACAAAAAAACTCAAAAAGAAGGAGCAGAGCCTCCAAGAGATGTGGGATTATGCTAAGAAGCCAAATCTATGCCTTACTGATATCCCTGAAACAAAAAGAGAAACAGAGAACACCATGGAACAAGCATTCCATGAGGGTGTCCAAGAAAACTTCCCGCATCTTGATCGAGAGATGACCATCCTGATTGAGAGATGACCATCCAAGCACAAGATAGTCAAAGAACCCCCCCCAAGGTATCATATGAGAAAAGCCTCCCCAAGACACATAGTAATCCACCTCTACAAAGTAAGTAAGAAAGTAAAATTCTAAAGGCAGCAAGAGAGAAAGGTCAGACTACCAACCCAGGAAGACCCATCAGAATCACTCCAGACTTATCTACAGAAATGCTACAAATCAGAAAGGACTGGAATTCGATTTTTGGCATTCTTAAAGATAAGCAATTCCAGCCAAGAGTTTCCTACCCTGCCAACCTAAGCTTCATCAGTGATGGAGAACTAAAATCCTTCCCAGACATCTGATCCCTAAGAGAATATGACACCTCCAGACCAGCCCATTAGGAGATATTTAAGAAGGTGTTGAACACAGATAAAAGAAAGAAAAAAAAAGGTCATACCCATCACAAAAGTACAGGCAATCACAGAGATAACAGTGCATAAAGAACAATCATAGAAATGAAAAAACACAAATATACAAATACAAAAGTAAAAAGGAAGCAAAGCAGCCCCTTTAGAGCCCTGTGACAGGGATAAACTCTCACATTCCAATAATTAGTTTGATTGTGAATGGTGTGAGTGCCCTACTGAAGATACATAAAGTGGCAGATTGGATAAAGCATGATCCAGCAATCTGTTGCCTTCAGGAAACTTAGCTCACTGCAAAGGAAACCCATAGGCTCAGAGTTGTAGGATGGAAAATGGTATTTTTGGCAAATGGAAAACAGAAGAGGACAGGTTTAGCTGTTCTGATATCAGATGAAGCAGTTTTCAAAGTATCAAAATTTTAAAAGGATACTGAAGGACACTGCATAATTATAAAAGGCTCAATTCACCACCAAGAAATACCCATCTTAAACATATATACACTCAACACAGGCACACCAGGTTTTATAAAACAACTACTAAGTGAACTAAGAGAGGAGAACCTTGAACAATCAGTTGGAACTTAAATACCCCACTAACAGCTTTTAGATAGATCTTCAAGGCAAAAAACCAACAAGGAGATCCAGAAACTCAGCTCAGTGCTTGATCAAATGGATTTAAGGGACATCTACAGAACTTTCCGCCTATCATCTATAGAGTTTCCATTCTACTCATCAGCATATGGAACATACTCCAAGATTGAGCACATTCTTGGACATAAATCAAGTGAGCACACATTTCAAAAGATCGAAATAATATCAGGCATCTTCTCAGATCACAATGGAGTAAAAATAAATACCACCATCAACAAGATCCTCCCAAAACACACAAAGACATGAACACTAAACAACATGCAACTGAATGATTTCTGGTTCAACAAGGAAATCAAAACAGAGATAAAAAGATTATTGGAAACAAAAAGAAAGACATATCAGAATGCCATGAAAGTACTGTTAAAAGGAGAACTCACGACATTGCACACACACGTAAAGAAAACAGAAAGATCACAAGTAAATAACTTAATTTCACACCCAAGGGAGCTGGAAAGGCAAAATTATCTAAAATTCAGCAGAAAAAATTATCTTAAAATTATCTTAAATTCAGCAGAAGAATCCAGATCACCAAGATAAAATCAATTGCAGGATGTAGAAGACAATATCATAGAAAGGATCAACAAGTCAAAAAGCTGGTTCTTTGAAAGAATAAATAAGATTGATGAACTCTTGGTTGGATTGATGAGAGAGAGAGAGAGAGAGAGAGAGAGAGAGAGACCAAATAAACACAATTAGAAATGCAGAAGGTGAAGTCACAGGTGACTCTGAAGAAATTCAAAAGATTATCAGAGATTACTATGAATGCCTATATGCAAATGAACTAGAAAACCTAAAGGAAATGGAGAACTTTCTGACATCTCAGAACTTCTCAAAACTGAAACAAGAAGAAATTGGAACTCTAAACAGACCAGTAACAATCCAGGAAATCGACCCAGTCATAAGTCTCCCCACCAAAAAAAGCCCCGGTCCAGATGTCTTCCCAACTGAATTCTATAAGACATATAAGGAGGAGCTGTTATCAATCTTACTGAAAGTATTCCAGGCAATTGAGAACGATGAATTCTCCCCCAGCTCATTGTTAGGAAGCTAACATCATACTGATACCAAGACCTGCAAAGACCCAACAAGGAAATAGAATTACAGGCCACTCTTCATGATGAACATAGTTGTAAAAATTCTCAGTGAGACTCTAGCAAATTGTATCCAACATCTCAAGGATCATCCACCATGACCAGGTGGCTTCATTCCTGGGATGCACAGCTGGTACAACATTCACAAGACCTTGAATGTAATTCAGCACATTAGCAGATGTTAAACCAAGAACCACATGATTATGTCATTAGATGCAGAAAAAACATTCAACAATATCCAGCATTCATTTTTGTTAAGAACCCTTGAGCTCCTAGACATAGAGGGAACATTCTTCAAAACAGTAAAAGCCATTTATGATAAACCCATGGCCAACATTTTGCTTAATGGGTGTAAGTTGGAAGCATTTCCTCTGAAAACAGGAACAAGGCAAGAATGCCCACTCAATCCTTCTGTTCAACATAATGTTGGTCCTAGCCAGAGTGGTCAAACAAGAGAAGGAAATCGGGGAATCCAAAGAGAAAAGAGGAAGTCAAGCTATCCCTCTTTGCAGATGATACGATTTTGTACCTTAAAAACATTAGGGAGTCTGTCAAAAGCCTCCTCAAACTGATAAATGACTTTGGTAAAGTTATGGGGTATAAAACCAATGTGCAAAAAACAGTTGCATTTCTGTATACTAGCAATAAGCAGGTAGAGAACCAAATAAAAAAACACAATCTCATTCAAAAAAAGAGGAAGGAAGGAAGGACGGAAGGAGGGAAGGAGACCAAAGGAGGGAGGGAGGAAGGAGAGAAATAGAAAGACCTTGGCATTCACCTAACCAGAGAAGTGAAAGACCTTTACAATAAGAACTATAAAATGCTGCTCAGTGAAATGAATGATGAACAGAAATAAAGAACTGAATACTACAATACTACATGTTCTCATGCCTAAGTGGTCCCTGAACACTCATCACTGCCAGGGGAGGAAGGGAGGGAGGGGGGCACGTGACAACACGTAGCATACCTGGTCCTAAACCAGGGGACGTGAGGGCCAGTTAGAGACCCAAATTTCACTTGCATGCAACCTACTTATGTAGTTAACCCTTACTTGTACTCTACATCTCTATAATAAATTTTAAATAAAGAAATCAAGGATGACACAAACGGATACACACTTCATGTTCATGCATTAGAAGAATCAATATTGTCAAGATGTCCATTTTGCCTGAAGCAATCTACAGATTCTATGCAATACCCATCAAATTTCTGACATTTTTTTCAGACCTGAAAATGACAATATAGAAATTCATATGGAAACAGAAAAGAGCATGAATAGCCAATACAATTCTCAGCAAAAAGAACCAAGCGGGAGGTATACTTCCCGACTATATACTTTATTACAAAGCTGCAGTAACCCAAATAGCCTGATACTGTACAGGAATAGGAGGACAGAGATTTCAGAAGCAAAAACTTGGCCTCTCAACCAACTCATCTTTGATAAAGCTACCAAAAACAATCACGGGGGTAAGGAGACCATATTTAGCAAATGATTCTGGGAAAACTGGCTGAACACATACAGAAGAATGAAACTGGACCCCTACCTATCACCATATACAAAAGTCAACTCTAAATGGATCAAAGACCTAAATACAAGACCTCAAACTGTAAGAATCCTAGGAGAAAAATGTAGGAAACATCCTTACTATTGGAGTAAGCAACGAATTCTTGACCAAGTCCCCAAAAGTAAAAAAAATATTTGCAAATTATGCAGCTGACAAAGGCCCAACATCCTGGGTCTATAAGGAACTCAAATGAGGTGAAGGAAAAAAAAACCAACTCAATAAAAAGGATATGAACAGACACTTCTTAAAAGATGACATACAAGCAACCAACAGACACATGAAAAATTACTCAGCCTCACTTATCAGAGAAATGCAAATCAAAACTACAGTGAGATATCACCTAACTCCATTAAGGATGACTATCATTAATAAGTTTAAAACAAACAAACAAACAAAAAACAGATGCAGATGCTGCCGTGGGTGCAGAGAAAAGGGAATGCTTCTACACTGTTCTTGGGAGTGCAAGCTAGTTCAACCTCAGGAAAGCAGTGAAACATTTCCTAAAAGAACTAAAAGTTGACCTGTCATGTGATCCAGCAATCACCCTTCAGGGAATATACTCAGAGGAACATAAACCATTCTACAGAAAAGACACTTGCACATGCATGTTTACTGCTGCAGTATTTACAATATCAAAAGCATAGAACTATCCCTATTACACTTGGAATATACAGGGGACAAAGAAAAACTAGTAGATATACACGGTGTACTAATAAACAGAATATTATGGTTAAGGAAATACTTTACATGATGGATAGCCAAATGAATTTTTAAATTATTGTTTTGAACATATAAATTATCATTAGCTAACATTTCCATAGTTACTTATTTTCATAGTACTTTTTGATGTTTTAATTTAGGGCTTTTCAGTGTTACTTGATGAAATGCTTTTAAGAGTATTTAGCTAAAAGATTTTTTTTATGGATGCTCATAAAGAAGAACAAAAAGTGCAGCCAAAAGGAAGAACAAAATCTTGGTCTTGGCAGCAGATTGATTAGAATTGGAGACCATCATACTAAGTCATCTGTTACAGAAGCAAAGGGCTGAATATCTCATGTTCTCACTTTTTTTTTTTTTTTTTTGAGTTAAAGCCTCACTCTGTCGCCCAGACTGGAGTGCAGTGGCCGCTCCCGGCCACCGCAACCTCGACCTGCTGGGCTCTGGTGATCCTTCCGCCTCAGCCTTCCAAGTAGCCGGAATTACAGGCGCATGCTACCACGCCTAGCTAATTTTTTGCTTTATTGTAGAGATGAGGTCTCGCTGCCCAGGCGGGTCTCGAACCCGCGGGCTCAGGCAATCCACCCACCTCAGCCTCCCAAAGGCGTGGGATTACAGGCTGAGCCACCGAGCCCGGCTATGTTCTCACTTTTAAGTGGGCTCTGAGCATTAGTCACATTAGCACAAGTGAGGGATTGGCAGTCACTGGGCACTGTTAGGGGAGGAAGGGAGAGCGGAGGATGGGGGCACGGGACAACACAAAGGGTCCCTGGTCCACTACCAGGGGGAGTGAGGACCTGCTGGAAGCCCATTCCTCACCTTCAACACAGCCTACTTATGTAGTTAATCCTCACTTGTACTCCAAATCTGTACAATAGAATAATAAAATTTAAAAAAAATTATGAGAATGACAAATTTTTTGAAGAGAAGTCTTGGGAGGGTGTGTTAGATATAGTTTATTGTAGAAGTAAGAGTACTCAGTCACCAATGGTATTCATTTATTTTTAGTTATTAGAACAGCAGTTTTAATAATATAACAAATGCTGGTGAGATAGCTGTTTAACAAATATTGTGTCTTCCTAAATGACCACTTATGAGCTTGTTGATACACAGAATATTTGGTATGAAGAAATATGTTTAGTTTTCTTAGTTCATCTAAATTTCTTTGAAGTTTGGTGCTATTTTTTTTTTTTTTATTTTTATTTTCTACAACTTTTGACTGGGCTTGGTGGCTCATGCCTTTAATCCCAGCACTTTGGAAAGCTGAGGTGGGAGGATTGCTTGAGCCAAGGAGTTAGAGACCAGCCATAGTACATGGTGAGAACTTATCTCTACAAAAAAAATTAAGTCAGGTGTGGTGGTGTGCACCTGTAGTCCCAGCTGCTCAGGAGTCTGAGGTGAAAGGATCACCTGAGCCCAGGAATTGGCTGCAGTGAGCTGTGATTGTGCTGCTGAACTTTAGCCTGAGTGTCAGAGTGAAACCGCCACCAAAAAAAATTTTCTTTACAACTTAGGAGATGCCTATTTTCCTTAAAGGTATTATTACCTTTCTTAAGTATCTTGTACGTGGAAGTTGTTACCATTAATATGTTTCGTAATGAGCAATTTTTAGTCACTCTGTATCTGATAAGTATATTATTGAATTTAAATACTACTGAATTAGTTCACTTGGACTGGATGAAAACTTTAAATGTTAAATGTTTCCCCTAGGTATGGATGCCTCTATTTCTGTGAAGCCAAAGCAGACTGATGTGTTTGCCAGGCTTAAGGATATCATAGTTACGAATGTAGATTTGCTGTCCATTCACAAAAAGGTGATTAAAAAGTAGTTTTTCGTATTGAAATTTATTTTGTTCTTTGGGTTTGAGATACAGTTATTTATTTTTTCAGTATGCATTTATTAGTCGCCTGTTGTATGTCAGGCATTTTGTTAGGAATTGGAGAGGAAAATGGTAGTAGTCTGCTTTCATATTGTGTATAGATTAGGCCTCCTGATACACAGTGATTTGTAATAGTTATTTCTCAACAGTTAAATGATATTTCCATGGTAAAATGACTAAAGGAAAAAGTTATAGTCAAATAAGATGTTTTTAACTAACAATTTTTAAGGTTGAATTTTTATATTGCTTCTTCATATGTAAGGAATCTGTAATAAGGGAACTTTTTAAAATAATACATCAGTAAAGGACCGTACAGCTCTTTTGATATAATAACTAGTCATCTTATACTTTTAGGCTGTCTCTATTTTGGGAGATGAAGTCTTTAGGTTCCAGCTGACTCTTTATCCAGATGCCACAGAAGGAGAGGCCTATGCTGACATGTCTAGAGTAGATGGCAGATTTAGTTTTAAAGTGGGTTGTATTCAGATTGTTTACGTTCATAAATTCTTCATGTCTTTTTTGGTAAGTTTATTTTTAAAATACATTTATTTCTTATTGAATCCTAATTATCTTTGTCTATACAATTGAGCCTAGATAGTAAAAATCTTCACTAATAAGGATGTGTGATAAACACCCAAATGCTGAACAGAAAATTATAGTTAAGGAAATACTTTACATGATGGATAACCAAATGAATTTTTAAATCATTGTTTTGAGCTTATAAATTATCATTAGCTAACATTTCCATAGTTACATATTTTCAGAGTACTTTTTGATGTTTTAATTTAGGGCTTTTCAGTGTTACTTGATGAAATGCTTTTAAGAGTGTTTAGATAAAATATTTTTTTAAGGATGCTCATCGTGGATTTGAAGGACTAATTTTGGAAATTACAGCTTTTGGTTATAATTGGGATCACCAGGATCATGTAACTTTTTCCCTTTTATTATTTCTGTGTAAGCATCATGTGCTGAAGAGTTTAAATTTTCCCATGCCTCATAGCATGGATGCTTATCAATGCTTACAAGTCATGAATTTCTCCTTAAAACCATCATGCTTTCTTTTCTAGAGAGTATTTTATTTGGAAGGGGTTGAGGTGCAGATTAAGTTGCTTTTGTATCATGAATGAATGGGCATTAAGAACTTTGCTTCTAAGAATGATCTTTTCCTTATTGGGAAAAATCTTTTTGTTTTTAGTTGAAATGTCTATAAATAAATTTTTATCTTGTTAATAATTACAGGATCGTAGACAATTATCCATCTTTCCTTATACCCGATGCCTGAGTACATTCAAAAATAGTTTCATAAATAAGCTGGCAGAGCTCTAGTTTCTAAGACTTTATTCTTGTGACCTACTAGTACAAAATTACCCTGCTTTTAAAGAAGTACAGTGTTCTTCTCCCTTTCACTTAAATTTGAATTTAAAATGACCAACATTCATTAGTAAAAAGATTTTTTAAATGTCACAAAATTTGTCATAAAAATAAAATAACTGTGAAATATATAAAATGAAAGCTACAGAACATTTTCTTTTGAGAAGTAAGTATTGTTAATAGGCCAGGGTGTCTATTTCTAGACTTGACTCTCCACATACACAATCATAACTAACGTCTATTTTATATTACCTCTTTTATTTGGCATTTCTATTTAAAGTTGATGCTTTTAAAAGTTTTTCCTTTTAAAAAGAAATGTCTATTGGGGAAACTTTCTAAATACTATCTCTTTCAACAGAACTTTCTCAACAATTTCCAAGCTGCCAAAGAAGCTTTGAGCACAGCCACAGTCCAGGCTGCAGAAAGAGCTGCTTCCAGCATGAAAGACTTGGCTCAAAAGAGCTTCCGCCTTTTGATGGATATCAATTTGAAAGCACCAGTTATTATTATTCCTCAGTCTTCAGTGTCAGCTAATGCTGTTATAGCAGATTTGGGTTTAATTAGAGTTGAAAACAAATTTAGCTTGGTTCCTATGGAACGTTATTCTCTTCCCCCAGTCATTGATAAAATGAACATTCAACTCACTCAGTTGAAGCTGTCCAGGTATAAATATATAGTCTAATTTGTGTGTTACTTACTAGAAATAGGATTTTCATAGAATTTTTGCCCGTGGTAAAATGCCTAATAATTTGTGGTTTTCATTCCTTATTTCTTCTAATTATAAGAGCTTAGCCATTGGTTTTTTTGGTTAACCTCACAGAACCTGCATTTTTGTCTTACTAAACTTAAAAATGTAATTTTTTCATCCTATAAAAATCACCTATTATAAAATTATAGTTTACTTAATATTTAATTTAAATTTATTTTTAACCTTGTACATCGCTATTTTTTTAGGTGGGAGAAAACTTCCTAAATGTAATAAAATTTAGGATTTCTTTCTTTTTTTTTTTTTTGAGTTGGAGTCTCACTCTGTCGCCCAGACTGGAGTGCAGTGGCTGCTCCCGGCCACCGCAGCCTCGACCTGCTTGGTTCCGGCGATCCTTCCGCCTCAGCCTTCCAAGTAGCCGGAACTAAAGGCGTACGCTACCACACCCGGCTAATTTTTTTATTTATTGTAGAGATGAGGTCTCGCTGCCCAGGCGGGTCTCGAACCCGTGGGCTCAGGCAATCTGCTCACCTCAGCCTCCTAAAGGCGCGGGATTACAGGCTGAGCCACCGAACCTGGTTTATTTCTTATTTTTAAATCTTGTCACATTTGGGAATTTTTAGTGAGGTATCAAAAGGATTAGTGAATCCAAATGGGAAAGTCTTTGTTTCTATTGAATGGCTAGAGTACCTACTTGATGGTGCACATATTTGTTGGCAGGCATGCTAGAATGACTGTTACCATATATTCATTTACTTTTTGATTTGGTGAATTTTTCCTCTTGAATTTGGGAAAGTACTAATAACATATTAAGGGCTAAGTATAAGATCACTTTCTTTATCCTCTGGTTTCAGTAGGATATAACATTTGTTTGTATGCCATTGTACCAGTTGCTATACCAAACAGTCTTTGTGAAAGATAGTAAATAATACCATAGTCATACTGTATGAAAATCATGTCTTTGTAATTGTTGTATAGGTTTTGTTTTAGATAACTCTGCATATAATCTTGATTTATTCTGATTCAGATTGATTTGTGAAAAGAAGTATGTCCTAAAGTTATCCTGATAGCAACCTGTATTTAGTGTTTATGAAAATGTTATTTGGAAACTGTTATACAGCATAATAGTCCTAATTTAAAAATGTAAATTTCAAATAAGAAATAAATTCTTGTTTTCTTTCAGAACTATTTTGCAGGCTAACTTGCCACAACATGACATTGAAATTTTAAAACCAGTCAACTTGCTTTTGTCTGTACAGCGAAATTTATCAGCAACATGGTATGTGCACATTCCAGGAATGGAGATAAAAGGAAAACTAAAACCTATGCAGGTAAATATCTAGTACATAATATATGAAAATCACTTGATAGCCAGCCTTTTATTGTTGATCATATTGTAGTTCTAGTATATACCAGAATGTAGAGGAGACTACATTTAAAGGGAATGTTTTAACTGCAAAGGAGGTCATCCTCATTCCCCCCATTTTTCTTTATTTCATCATAGTTGGATGATATTTGGTAAAACAAGCAAGAAGTCTGAGATAAAACCTATTGGAATCTACTAAAAATATTATTCTTAATTTTGGAATATTCTATTAAAGTTTTAACACAGCTAAATTGCAAAACCTTGTGATGTGATCTTTGGCTACCATACCCAAAGTACCTTAGGAGCATTTTCAATGTGTAAAGACCCTTTTTTAATTGAAAATTGGATAACATTTTGAATAGACAAATGTGTTTATTTGGTAAGCATATAATTCAGCATTAATGTTAATAGTGTAGTTAGCAGGTTCCATGTCAGCTCAGAGGAGGAGGTGAGACTGATTGAAGATAGTCATAGAGGTGCAAGAATCCTTGTGTTGGGCCTTTGTGCGAAACTGTTGCAACCAAACAGCAGGGAATGGGGTTGGGGAGGGAGAAGCTAAGCAAATAGAGTGTGTGGAAAACAAAGATTTAGTAGTTTAGTGGGTTTTGATGTGTGTGATTATTTCAGAGTTGGTTCCGAGATAAAACAGGAAGGAACAGAGAAGCAGAATTCTTTTGGGGAAGAAGTTAAAATTGAGCTTCTTGTGGAAGTGAAAGGTTTCTCTTCATATGTACTAGGGGATATAGTACATGAAGAAGAATTATTGAACTATATCTGTTTGGGACTTTCATAGAGTGGACTCTGTTCCAGCATATGGGTAGCTTCTCTTAATTTCTCCCTTGCTGCTAAGAGATTAGATCCAGAACTAATATTTGACTCTTCCTTTCAAAGATCATTTGGTATAGGTTTATTAAAAACAAAAGTAAAACCTAAATGTCTGTCAGGAGCCAAATGTCAATAAAATTATGGTATATTCATATAATAGACATTGTAAAGAAGATAAAGTAGATGTAATAAATGTAAAAGTAATAGACATTGTAAAGAAGATAAAGTGAATGACTAAAACTCTATGAAACAAAATGGATATGTCTTAAACATAATGAAAAAATTGAGTTGCAAAATGATAGTACACTTCTATAGCATTTCACATTTTATAATAGGCAAGACAGTGCTATACATGTTGTTTATAAGATATACAATAGTGGTAAGTGTAAGAGAAAGCATTCATAGCAATAATAATTCTCTAGTTCAGTGTAGTGTCTTTCTCTGAGAATGAGAGGAGAAGGGAATGAGGCCTCAGGGAGGTGTATATGGGGCTTTGGCCACATTTGGAATTGAGAAGCAAGATCTGAAGGAAATGTAGCAACTTGCTAAGGTTTGACAGAGCTAGGTGGTAGATCCACAGGGGGAGGGTTATAGTAATCTCTGTCCTTTACCATTGTGCTTGAAGCATTTCAAAAGAAACAAGGAAAAAGTAACAGAGCTGCTAGGTTAACACCAAAGTATGATCATTACTTTAACCAAAAGGATCCTTGTTAACTCAGGAATGCAGCCACAGAGGATAAGTTCTCTACTTCCTAATTTGTCAGCAAGCCAGGCCTCTCTAACCCCCCTCTTTGGTCATAGTCTGTATAGTTTCCCTGGGTTTGGGGTGCAACTAAGAAAGACTGTTGGGCAGGTAACACCAAGTTGTTTTGGGTAGATGTTTGACAGTTCTTAAAGAACATTGGGGTCACCTTTCAGAATTGTCCTTCATACTTGCTGAAGGTGAGCCTAGTAGATGATATGGTTGCTCTTTTTGTCCACAGCAGCCTGAAGGAGGTGGTAAAGTTAGATACTCTTCAAACAGCTGTGGTATCTTGGTTGGTATCACAAAAGAGAAATAATAGATAAAAAAAGTTTAAGGAGTTAAAGATACACCTGCTGTCTGAGAACTGGGACTTGAGACAGACAAATCCCTGGTCATCATCTTGTGCTAAAATACCTCTGTATTTTCACTTAGGCCGGGAACTAGGCAATTTTAGGGGACACAGGGTACTGAGCATTCAGAAATTTGATGTGCACTTATGCTTGTTTGTGTGAATGTGTGTATGAGTGCTTGAAACATGCCTTTTGGATCATTGTGTCTTACAGAAGGTAGAAAGACACAATGGGAAGCTCCAAGGAAAGCACTGATTTAATGTGTCTTAGCAGGTCAGCTGGCGGCTTCATTCCTTCTAGTTGTTTCATATTGTTCTGCAGCCACCTGTGCGGGGAAGATGGCATTATTCCTTTTTAAAGACTAAGAAACTCGAGAAGGAGGCTAAGAAACTTGGCAACAAGATAGCTTGAAAATGGTATAGCTGATACAGATCTGCCTGATTTAAAGCCCTAGCTTTTTTTCCCCCATACATACCCTTTATAAGAGATGAAGAAGATGCTAACTTTCTGTTTTTGTTTTTAAAACTTTTGGTAATTTGTTACTGTTCTAAGAAGTGTTATTCATGATAAGTTAAACAACTGCTTTGTGTATGTTCAGGTGTGAATGTACTGAGATTAAGAGCCACATAGCAGGAGAGCAACTTTTGACTTTTTGGTGGAGATCAGAAACTGAACAGCATTCTTCCTGCACTGAGTTTGGAGAGGAGTAAATAGTGTAGAGGAAGGAACTGGTCCTGGTGGAGAGGAGAGAGAGGCAGAATGGAGATGGGAAGAGAGGGGAGGGGAGAGAAACCCAGGAACAGGACATTGTGGTAACAGGTAAGGCACAGAGACTATTGGGATGCTAGAGTCAGGGGCTTGGATATGGGTGGAGGCAGAAGTGTGTTTACATCCAGCAGGTGAGGTGAAGTACTTCTCTTCTGGTGTTTATGGTCCCAATGCTTACTGCTTTCCTTCACCTTCTCCCCATCTCCTTCTCCATCTTCCCCTCTTACCTTCCCACTTGTCTCTTCTCTCTTTTCTATCTCTTGTTCCATATGTGTGTGTGTGTGTGTGTGTGTGTGTGTGTGTGTGTGTATGTATTTCTAAGCAGACATAATTATTTAATTTGAAAACCACTTATATTGTGACATATATGTGATGGTCTGCATTTTTTATTACTTTGTGCTAACATACTATTGCTGGTTTCTAGGTTGCTCTCAGTGAAGATGACTTGACAGTTTTAATGAAAATTTTGCTGGAAAATCTTGGAGAAGTTTCTTCACAGCCAAGCCCTACACAGTCTGTGCAAGAAGCTGTGAGAGTGAGAAGAGTAGATGTTCCAAGCGGAGCTGATCCCCTCAAAGGTACACATTGATGACTTGCACTTTGATTATGGATCAACAGTATGTTAAATGTCATATTTATGCTTAGTATTATTCTCATTGTCCAGCATAATGTGGTGTGAACTGATTCAGTATTGTACTGTTTATTGCAGAATATATGTTGGGCCTGGGGCTGCCCCTTTTAAAGATCTCAGGGCAGGGAGGCACTCCTGTCATTTGCTGTAGCAGGAAAGGTCACTTGTTGCCTGCAAGATACATGTTTACCCTTTATTTGTGAATGCTAAATTTGCTAAATTTATTAGGCACTGAGGTGGTCAGTCTTCCTTGAGCAAATAAATCAAACATACACTGTATGTCTATACAGTGTAGTAAGGTTCCAAAATAATTCAGAGAGAAAAGGACTTTGGTATCATATATCATACTCTGATGACTGAACCATGAGAAAGGAAGATACTCTTGTATGGTAACAGCTTTATTAATTTGCCTTTACTGGAGAAATATATATCATATACATAAGATAATTTTTCAGATCATTAAATTGAACTTATTAAAAGCGCTGAACCTTTGAACTCATTTTTAAATGATAATTTTTCAGAAATAGTAGACTTTTTTACTTTCTAAAATAGCTTTTATGAAATATAATTTCATTCTTTTTCATTATTTAAAGCCACTGATGTCAATATCATATATTTTATTAGACTGTAAATAGGTTAATATTTTCACAATTAAAAAGAGATGAAGTACTCCTTGCCCTTATATAAGTGATCTAGGGCTACTGTGCTGTGCTTATAATGCTCTTACAGTATCAGCTATTACTTATGACAGCAATTGATAAAACTGCCAGTTAATAATACTATACCAACCCTGCTGCTCCTGTAGTCATGATAGATCTGTTATGAAGTGACACAAATGACTATAAATGTGTGTAAGGTTTCTGGTTTAAGTATTGCATAAACTAGATAAGGCCAACATCTTCTCTCCAGGTTAGGGTTTGCGCCACCATACAGGCATGTGCTAGATAAGTAGGCTGTTATGGCTAGACAGGAACTATATATACGTTGATCAACTGTAACGGACAAGCTTTATGTGACTAATGATTTCATTAATGTTCAGCTTTGATCACATTTGTGTATCTGGTTCTTACCATATGGAAGGGACCCAACAAACCTTGGAATTTATTTGTAAAAAATTTTGTATTTATTCTTGCATGTTTAAAATTCAGTCACCTTCAGAGTACTCTCCCTCCCCATTTGATGCACTCTACCTATTGAGACACTTTTCCCACTGCTCAAAACAGTTTTCAGACTTCTTAATTTTACTGCCTTTTTTTAGTGCCTCTGCTGTTTTTTGTTTCACCTCTTCCACATCAGCAAAACATGTCCCTTTGAGAACTTTTTCATCTAGGGAAACAAAAAAAGTCACTCAGGGCAAGATTGGGTGAATAGAAATGTTGGGGCATGGGGGTCATGCCATTTTGGGTCAAAAACAGCTGAGCACTGAGTGTGGTTTGGGCACCCATCATAAAATGGGCAAACATGTTGGAAAAAATATCCAAAAAAAAAAAAAAAATCACCGAAGCCAAATGCCTCCTCTCGCAACAATAGCTGGTACACTGATGCCTTTGGGTTCCAAGAACACTTAACTAGCAGAGAAGCCTGTACATCAAGGGGCCTACCCTTCAGATAATAATTCTGGTTTCTTTTGGTCCTCTCTTGAATGGTTAATGTGGCATTTGGGAAAATTTGTGAGTTAAACTAGAAGCTGCAAAGATGATGATGTAATATAAATGATGATGTAGTATAAATTATTTTCAGGAAAAATGGAAGAAAAAACTCCAGAGTTTTCTCACTTGGAGAAACCTTATGTCGTTAAAGTTAAGCAGTGTTTGCTTTTCAGGAGTGTATAAGAATAAACTTTCCTTTAGAATGATCAGAAATTAGAGTCAATCTCCCAAAAGATTATAGAATCACTTTTTAAGAGTGATTGAAGGTAAGATTTATTCAGTGTGTCCTATCTGTCTAAAGATGAGGGAAAAGACAATTTACTTCTTGAAGTCTCTTTCATCTCAAAATTCCAAAGCACCCCTACACAACAGTTGAGCTCTGTTTGACTCTGTTATTGGGTGGTATTCTGTTCTTCTCATAAAGGTAATGGGTTGGGTAATATAGGTGATTAAAGATAGAAGTGCATTAGACTAGCAGAGGATCTGTTACCAGCTATCTAATCTAGGTCAAAGTATATTATTTGACTTTTCTGTGCCACCAGTTTATGTATGTATTTATTTATTTTTTATTATGAAGATGTGGGGTACGACTCAGAGTTAGGTATACAAACATTGATCATGCAGGTCCCCTTGTTGATGAGTATGCCCCTCCCTCCCCTAGCAGTTTCCCTTAACTGCCAGTCCCACCTCCCCCCCCGACAGTTTCCCACTGCTGCTGATTGCTTTCTTATAGTATTATAATTGTTCAAAGTCCCCTTATGAGTGAGAACATATGGTACTCTGTTCTTTGTTTCTGTGATAGATCACTGAGTATGATCGACTCTAAATCCCCCCAAGTTGCTGCCAAGTCCGTATGTTTATTCTTTTTTATGGCTGCATAATATTCCACTGTGTATATGTATTACATTTTTTTTTATCGTCCAGCTTCGATGGGCAACATGGTTGGTTCCATGTTTTTGCTATTGTGAATAGAGCTGCAGCAAACATGTGTGCAGATGTCTTTTTTGTAGAATGATCTGAGTTCCTCTGGGTATAGTCCCAATAGGGGAATTGCTGGGTCTTATGGAAGGTCAATTTCTAGTTCTTTCAGAAATCACCATACTGTCTTCCAAAGAGGTTTCACTAGTTTGCATTCCCACCAGCAGTGTAGAAGCGTACCTTTTTCCCTGCGTCCTTGCCAGCACCTGTTATTGTTTGTTTTATTAATGATGGTCATTCTTACTGGGGTTAGGTGGTATCTCAGTGTGGTTTTGATTTGTATTTCTCTGATGATGAGTGAGGCTGAGCACTTCTTTTTCATGTGTCTTTTGGCTGCCCGTATATCTTCTTTTGAGAAGTGTCTATTCTTGTCTTTTGCCCACTTTTTAATGGGGCTGTTTGTTTTTTTTCTTTTGGTGTATTTGAGTTCCTTGTAGATCCTAGATGTTAGGCCTTTGTCAAATATACAGTTGGCAAATAGTTTTTCCCATTCTGTGGGCTGTCTCCCTGCTCTCTTTATGGTTTCTTTTGCTTTGCAGAAGCTTGTTAGTTTGATGAGGTCCCACTGGTCTTATTTCTTAAGGTATGGGCATTTAGGGTTCTGCGTAGGAATTGGTTGTCAGTTCCAATTTCTATAAGGGTGTCTCCTGCGTTTTCTAAGATTCTTATAGTTTGAGGTTTTACGTTTAGGTCTTTGATCTATTTAGAGTTACTTTTTTGTGTGTAGTGATAGGTAGGGGTCCTGTCTCAATCTTCTGCATGTGCTATGCCACCAGTTTAATAATAACCTGAAGGTGGTTTGTAACAAGTTAGGTGAAAATACCTTGGTAAGTATAAACTACATTCTGTAGTAAGTAGTGTTGCTTGGCAAGTTTTTTTTTTTAAGTTGTCTGGATACTCTTTGCAAGGCAAAGGTAGATAGACTGCCTCTGCTATTTTGCGCTATACTAAATGATTACATATTGAATAATCATTGCCATTTTTATTAATTGTCTCATAATATGATTTATTGAATCCTAGAAAATGTGGTAGAATATGTTATTCCAGCTCTTTAAATATTTATAAAGTTATGTACCTGTTGAAAAGCTTTTTAATTTTCATATTTATGTTTGAACCATCAGAACAGGATTTGGCAGACTCAGAGGTTTCTATGAACCAGAATGTCACTCTTCAATTTGACTTTCACTTTGAATCTCTTTCTATTATTCTTTATAACAACGATGCCAGTCAGGTATGTAATAATTTTGGTGGTTAAAAAAATATCCTTAGCTTTTGATACTTAGTTTTAAAATATTGACATTTTTTGATGGGACTATTCATTTAAAATTTTAAGATGTCTATACAATTCTGCTTTTCTTACAGACTACATTGGTTTTGCTCTCTGATTTCACTTTGTTAGTGTTTCTAATCTTAGAAGGCTAAGGAAAAACACTCAGGGTTTTCTTTCTTTCCAAATAACATCAACATCAAAACACATTTTGATTCATTACTAATAAAGAGGTTGTGTATATGAAAAATTAATGATATGCCCAATTTTATTATATAGCTACATATGTGTATATATATCTATTTAAGAAGAAGAGTTCAGTAGTGGATTTGGAGCCTTAGTTGATTTCTTTAAAAATTCATGATTATCCATGATATATAAGCATTCGTTGTTTGTATTGAGTAACTGTTACATATAGTAGATATTTATCCAGGATACCAATTAAAGAAATGAAGAACCAATATCTAGTGCCATAATGATTTGAACTAAATAATAAACCAGTGGTATTTTAGAAAGCTATTTTTTGTTATATAGCTAGTATCTTTCAATAAGTATTTTTGATTATGCCATGTTAATATCCAGATTATGTATGTCTGTATTGATTATGGGTGTTATATCTGTTGTTAATTCCATTTATATATGTTCATATATTTCATATTATTTTGCAAAAATTATCATTGTTACTGTTGAGTTTTGAGCTAATATCTGTCATTTGTGCAATGAACTTCCTTAATTTCTAATGTTTAATTTTCATGAAAACATCAGAAAATCATCTTTTAGAAAATGAACAGTTAAATGCATTCTTAATTTCATTTAAGATACGGTCATTTTACTGATTCTTGAGCCTTAAATCTTGATGTCTCTTCTTTTACTTTCTTGTTTGTTCACCTTCCTTATTCATTTAGGCACTGAGTACTTTTAGCTTTTTCTAAGTAAGCATGTTTTTCTTTTCTGTTTGTTCTCCATACTGCTTTATTGAGACTCTGAGCCCATACTTCTAGTATTGCAATGGCTTCCTTACTTCTACTCTTTCCCTTTTATCCATCCCAGGCATTGTCACAAATTTAGTTTCCTAAATGAATTTTACGTAGCCATTTCCAGCTTCCCATTTCACTTAAAAATATTCAGTGTTCTATTACATGAATTTCATCTTATGCCAAAAAAAATTCAGTAGCTCCAAATTGTCTATATCAGGACACCATATCAGTAACAGTATCAGGAAACATTAGCATACTGTGATTAATAGATGTGTCTCAGGTCATTTCTGTTAGTGGTTATAGACTTTTGGGAATTATTTCTATCTTTATAAATTAAAGGCATTCAGAGCTGGGTGTGGTGACTCAGGCCTGGAATCCCAGTACTTTGGGAGGCTGAGGTGGGAGGATTGCCTGAGGCCAGGAGTTCAAGACTAGCCTGGGCAACATAGAGAGACTTCATCTCTACAAAAAAGAAAAAAAATTAGCTGGATGTGGTGGTGCATGCCTGTAGTCCCAGCAACTTGGGATGCTGAGGTAGAAGGATCACTGAGCCCAGGGTTTGAGGCTGTGATGAGCTGTGATTGTGATCGTTATCGTGCCACTGCACTCTTGCCTGGGAGATAGAGTGAGACCCCAACTAAAAAAAAAAAAGTTTGCCTGTAACAATGTCATTCTGACCCACTTGTATGCAACGGACTGTTGTAAGTGAGAGTAGGTGTAGCTTTCTCATCAGTGGGTCAAGGATCGCACATCCCCGCACCACTTCTATCACTGCCGTGGTCTCTAGTAGGAAGCTGTAACTGGTGTTCTTTACTTTCCTGAAGGTTTTTTGTTTATTAGTTGAATTTTGTTCTTTTTAAAATCTGGATATCTAGAGAATTTGGAATTATACATTATGGTGGAATAAAGATTGAGGTTCATTTTTTTTTCTCATTTGAGTGGCATATCACTCTTGCCCAGTTCACAGCCCAGCTCACAGCTACTGCAGCCTCTATCTGCTGGACTCAGGTGATTCTTCTGCTTCAGCCTTCCAAGTAGCATGCGCCACCATACCTGGCTAATTTTTTGATTTATTGTAGACACAAGTTCTTTCCAAATTGCTCAGGCTGGCCTTGAACCCCCTGGGCTCAGGCAGTCCTCTCGCCTCTGCCTCCCAAAGTGCCGGGGTTACAGGCATGAGCCACTGCAGGTACTTTTTTCTATAAATAAAAGCTTAAATATTTAATTTGGGATTTGAGGCCTCGATTGGGGCTCTGTATTTCTTTCTAGCCTTATTCCTTATCATTCTTTAGTTGGAGTATTCAAGTCTACCCTGTGCCCTCAAGCATCTTGAATTGTTTGCTCATGCTTTTTCCCCATGTAGAATGTCTTCAGTCACCCTCTTAGCCTGTAGGATCCCATGCAGCCTCTGAGACTCAGTTAAGTTCTCACCTTCTTCGTGAATTTTTCCAGCCCACAATCATTTATTTGGACTCTCTGAGCTTTTACATATAAATAAATGTACAAATACAAATAAGAATAAATAAATTACTATATGCCACAAGTAGTTGGTCATTTACAGTGATGATCACTGTAGCATCTCCTTGGGATATTCCTTTTAATGTATCTATTTTGTTTTCTCAATTAAGGAATAGGGCTTATTCTTTCTCATAAACCCCATTGTTCTTATAACAATTTTTTTCCCACAAAGAACCTCATTAAATATTTATTAGCTAAATTTTTTTAATTGATAGAAAGCTTTCCTGATTATTTTTATTTGCATTGGACTGTAAATCAGATAAGTTTGTATATATTAACCACTGTTGAATACCAACACATATTTATGTATGTATTTGTTTGTACATGTATCCTCACACATGTGCATATTATTCTCAGTTCCATTTATGTGTTTTAGCATTCATACTTTTAAAATTTGTGAGCTTTATTTGCCTTTAAGCTCTGAATTAAGTTATATTTAAAAGTAATTATATAATATTTAAACATTATTTATTTATTTATTTTGCTTGAAAAATATACCACAGGAGTCCAGACTTTCATTTCATAATGACAGTTTCCGGCTTGGTGAACTCAGACTGCATCTTATGGCCTCCGCGGGGAAGATGTTTAAGGATGGCTCAATGAATGTCAGCATTGAACTTAAGACATGTACCCTTGATGATCTCAGAGAAGGCATTGAGAGAGCAACATCGAGGTTTGTCAGCTCTGAATTTGGTATTTGTTTTTTGAGGTTGATACTGCACCTGGCATTGCTAGTAGGTATTGCTAGGCTAGAGATAAACAAAAGAGATCTCTGTCTTTTGGTCATTCTTCCTGATTTGAATTGTAGCAAGAAGTAGTGCTAATGTTAGATTCAGCTGCTTTAAAGTTTAAATTAAAGGGAAGTTTAATGATAAAAACAGAGTGCCATCTTAAAAATGGGAACCAAGAATGTAAGAGTATTGATAGTTTAATCCACATGGGGTGATATGTTGGTAATATATATTTTTAAATTCTTCTAGGTAGGCAGAATCTTTGTTCTTTTTTTAAAGCTTTTAAGCTATGAATCTTTACTTAGTCTTGTTTATTTTCTTGATGTCTTTTAAAAACAGTTCTGCACAGCATCTTTCAATGTTTTAATAGAAATAAAATCCCTAGCATATTCACATTATCAACCTATTTCTGAAGGAATAACATACTAGCCCACTATAAAGTGGGAAATATGTAATTTCAATAGCCTAATTATATTTTTATTTATTTTTGAAACAATGAGACCTAATATTTTGTACTTGATTATTTTTTGGAGGAAAACAATGTTGTTACTTGAACTCGGACTCCATTGAATACTTACTGGATATCTTGAGCTGTTCGTTTTTCTGAGAGATGTAGAAATAAGGAAAGAGTGCTATCATGTACCTGGCATGTAGATGGCAAACTTTCTGTCTGGGGTAGCTGTCCACAGCTCTCTAGGCAAGAGTGATAAATGCTATGGTCTACTTAGTAGCCTGTTCTTTCCAGCACATGTGAAGATATAGGGAAACTATCACTGAGGACACTTGATAAACACTTGGTAATTTGAGTTGCATTACATACTTTGGAACTCAAATTTTATAAGATGATCTTTGGAATTAAATTTTTCAGGGAGGTTTTATTTCATAATGTAATATAAATAGGTGGCCTTACATTTTGTGTGACCACATTGATGTGTATTGTTTTTTGCCCAATTCCTTTCTCTAGTATTGCATTATAATTATAAAATATTGTGTAATTGCTTAATAACACACATCTTGCTTTGATGATTAGGAGACCATGTCTTGGTTGCAAATGGGTAATTAGAGTCTAGTTTAACTGTGACCTCTTTTCAGATTAGAATCTGAAAGGGAAAAGAAAGATTACTGAGGTTTATGTGGAAGTTTTCATCTTTTGTATTGCTTAAGCAGGAATAAAATAATGAATGGCATATCTTTTTTGCAGAATGATTGACAAAAAGAATGACCAAGATAACAACAGTTCTATGATTGATATAAGTTACAAACAAGACAAAAGTGGAAGTCAAATTGATGCTATTCTTGACAAGCTGTATGTCTGTGCCAGTGTGGAATTCCTGATGACTGTGGCAGATTTCTTTATCAAAGCTGTGCCTCAAAGTCCAGAAAATATGGCAAAAGAAACACAAATCCTACCAAGACAGACTGCCACAGGGAAAGTCAAGACTGAGAAAGGTTAGCAGAATTTATCTGTCGTAGATGACAATTTTCAAAATTACAAAAAAATTACAGACAGGAAAAAAGAGAAATGGAGAATTTAAGCACATAAAGTGAATCATATTTAAACATATTATATATAAAAACTTTAGAAAGCAAGCATTATTAAGAGAGATGCATAGTAGCAATTAGACAGGGCACCAGGAAACCCTGCTCTGATTCCATTTATGCTATTACTCATCCAGAAATAGAAGGAGTTAGTCTGGTCAGTGGTTGGCAGACTGTTTTGCAGGAGGGGAATCTTTTATTCAAAGAAACCATTTTGAAAATTCTAGCACATTGAAGAGCAATTGAAAATATAAAAGCAGAAGTTGGGGATGTTGGAGGAAGCAGCATAACTCCCCTGGACACCATGTTAACTCCTTTAACTCTGTAGACTAGTTTACAAATGTCTGGTCTAGGTGTAAGCAGAAGCCACTTTCAACTCTGTAATTCCTTTCTTCCAGCATTACTAATTATATCAATGATTTTCCATGTTAAATTATAATTGTCTAAGGTCAGGCATTTTTCTCTCTACATAAACCAGCAAGATTGGGAAACTAACATTTACTGACAAGGTAGGAATATCATTTATTTTTTTTGAGTTGGAGTCTCACTCTGTGGCCCAGGCTGGAGTGCGGTGACACGCTTAAGGCCACTTCAGCCTCGACCTGCTGGGCTTAGGTGATCCTTCTGCCTCAGCCTTCCAAGTAGCTCGAACTGCAGATGCTAATTTTTGTGATTTACTGTAGAGATGAGGTCTCACCAAGTTGCCCAGGCTGGTCTCAGATCCCTGGGCTCAGGCAATTCTCTCACCTCAGTCTCCCAAAGTGCTGGGATTATAGGCTGAGCCACCGCGCCCGACTAGAGTGTATGTTTTAAATGAACCTTTACTGTTTTCCAAACAGTGCTCAATCTGATATCTCCTTATGTACATATACATTGAATATATTTATATTATAGATTACATGATATTGATTATGGACTTTTGAATGAAATCAAAGTAAACAAGTACAGTAGTCTGTCTGCTGTATCAGGGTCCCTTTTCCTTTTCCTGATAGTTTCCTTTCCAGGTTTTCCCGTCCTTTTACCCCTGCATAGCATAACATCATATGTATACATGCACACACCTTTCTGACAAAAAGAACTTCAAAATAATAATATTACTCTTGTTAAGCTAAAGTGGTAATAGATTAGATCTTATTGGCACAGGGATCAAATTGCATTATCTTGTACAGTTAACATTTTTTAATAATCATTTAATCATTAGTATTATTCAATTTAAATAATTGTTAATTTCACCATATTTATTATAGCAAGACATTGAGAACAACTTAGCAACCTGTAGATAACATGTAGTCAAGTCATATATTCAAGTGATTTGTAATATCGCATGTAGAAAACTTAAACTTTTCTTGTTCCTGTTTTTGTTTATTCAGATGACTCTGTAAGACCAAATATGACTTTAAAGGCCATGATCACAGACCCAGAAGTAGTATTTGTTGCCAACCTGACAAAGGCTGATGCTCCTGCCCTGACAGCCTCATTCCAGTGTAACCTCTCTCTATCAACATCTAAACTTGAACAGATGATGGAAGCGTCTGTGAGAGATTTGAAAGTGCTTGCTTGCCCTTTTCTTAGAGAAAAGAGAGGGAAAAACATTACCACAGTAAGAATTACTTTGTGTCCTAACCTGAGATTGAAGAATGGCAGAAACTCTTAATTTGTAGACTCCTAGACTATGAGAGCTCTTCAGGACTTTTTTAGATGACTTATTACAAACTTGGGGTTTTATAGATAGGTATGTTGAGTTCCAAAGATGTTAAACGACTTAGACTTAGCCATGGCTGTCAATGACAGCTCTGGAGACTACCTCCATAACAGTTTTATTTTCATTATATCATCTCCTGTATTTGAATTTTAGTACAAGCCATTATTCTTTTCAGCTCTATTTTTTTTTTTTTTTTTTTTGAGTTGGAATCTCACTCTGTTGCCCAGGCTGGAGAATAGTGGCACTTTTATGACCACCTCAGCCTCGATGTGCTGGGCTCAGGCGATCCTTCCACCTCAACCTTACAAGTAGCTGGAACTACAGGTGCACGCTTCCATGCTCAACTAATTTGATCAGTTTATTGTAGAGATGAGATCTTGCCAAGTTGCCCAGCCTGGTCTCGAACCCCTAGGCTCAGGCAATTCTCTGACATTTGCCTCTTAAAGTGATGGGATTTCAGGCATGAGCCACCGTATCCAGCCTAGCTCCTTCTTTTATTCACCATTGTATACCCAGTGAATTAATGGATGAATAATTAAGCTCTATGAGAATGAAAAGATTAAATTGGAGTCCTATGACTAAAAGAGATTATATTCTTCTGTTATTAAAAGTTAATTTAAACTATGTTTTCATATTATTGAAAAATATGATTTTAGTCATAATTACCACACCGGTTATTTTTAAATATTAAATTGATAATTTTATGATAAGAGGATCATTTTATTATGCGACTCACTTACAGTGGTATTTTAAATTTAAGAAATTTATGGACAAAGTGACTTGCATAAAGAAACACTGTCTGTACTTTATTCTGAAATAGTCTTTGACAGAATTATCTTTTGACATGTCACAGAAAGCTTAACACTCCATTAAATGCTCATCCTAAGTTTTTTAAAATGATAATTATGCAGAATGAATTTCTCCATTTAGTTCAGGTACAAGATTATTCTATTTTGTTTTTTTAATAATATACAAGAATATAGGCTTCATAGTCTTAGTAAACCCTCCAGTTTGAAAATTTGAAATTCTACTAAGGATCTTATATATTTAAGACTGACCTGTTAATCATTTGCAACTGTTTATTTACCTACCTTACCATAGTCTTTAGCTCATTTTTATAGATATTTCAAAAATGTATTTTACAGAAGGCATCATTTTAAAAATATTTTAGCAAAAGGGAGCATTTTAATCTTCTGGTAGTAAATGTATATTATTACTTAAAGATTGGGCATGAATACAGTAATCAGAAACTGCTTAAGTTCTTTAACAGTGTTTACAGCTGTGTTGTAGTTCAGAAGAGCCCACAAGAGATTTTCGGATTTTTGCCTTTATGCTTTTTATGGGAGGTCGTAGTTAAAGATCCCAAGTAAGACGTGGTTTTTTAAGTGTGTCCCATGTATGATGAAACTGTTATAAGGAAATATGAATTTCGTTTATCTGTTTGTAGGTCCTGCAGCCTTGCTCTTTATTTATGGAAAAATGTACATGGGCTTCAGGAAAACAAAACATAAATATTATGGTTAAAGAATTTATAATTAAGGTTAGTGCTTATTATATTCATTGAATGACAATTCTTATTTTTTTTACAGTGTTGAATATTTGCAATTATTTGAAGTAGTAATGTACATTTTTAGTGCAAATGTTTGTTTCTGTTTTCTTTAAAAGAGTACTTTTCTATACCTGTACATGATTAAGGTGGTTTTTCTCTATTACATTTGCGTGTGTGCAGGGGCTGTTGAGTTGGAGAGGAGAGTAGAGATGGGATGGGAAGAGAGGGGAAGAAAGGATGGAGGAATGGGATTGCTATCACTTTATTTGTAATAAGTTATTTCAGGCTTTTGTTTATGTTTAAGTTGATGGAATATAATAACTGCTTTGTTTGGCTAAAATATTTGTAATGAAATATATGCTAAAAATAATTACTAGAATTTGTTGTTTTTTATCTCTACATTTAAAGTATTGAAAAAACAATCACTATTTTCCAGTGGCAGTTTCTTTAAGTGTAACCTTGTGCCCAGTTTCAAATGGAAGATATAGAATACATTCTGATATCTATTTCTCTCATGGTCCAAAGGACGCAAAAATGAGGTGTTTAATGCCAGTAATGATAGCTTTACTTATATTGGTCCATGACCTACAGTAATAGAACTAAGGCTCAAGCTCATTTCGTTTGAAGTACCATGCAAATATCAATGTAGTTTTTTCCTCAATATTTAAAAATGCTGGATAAACTTAGATTATATTTTGTTAATGGTTTACTTTTTTATTTTTATTTTATTTTATTTTAATTTAATTTAATTTTATTTGAGTTGGAGTCTCACTCTGTCGCCCGCGGCCACTGCAGCCTCGCCTGCTGGGTGCCGGCGATCCTTCCGCCTCAGCCTTCTGAGTAGCTGGAACTACAGGTGCACGCTACCACGCCCGGCTAATTTGTGATTTATTGTAGAGATGAGGTCTCGCCAAGTTTCCCAGGCGGTTCTCGAACCCGCGGGCTCAGGCAATCCACTCACCTCAGCCTCCCAAAGGCGCGGGATGACAGGCTGAGCCACCGAGCCCGGCAGTGGTTTACTTTTTTAAAGATGTGAAGTAGTGAGGGAAAACTCCTCAAATGCGTGTGTATTTTCTCTAAAGCACTGGAGTAGGTGCCGGGGGAACTTTGACTTTTCCATTTCTTTGTACATAAATTTATTGATTGAGTCAACAAACATTTTTTAGCTTTTACTATGTATAAAAAAAATCCTGTATAAGACATTAGGGATACATAGTTCTTGCCTTCATAAAATTTAATGACATATGTGGGAAAAAAGCAAATCCATGATTATAGTTTTCAGTGCTAGGGGCATATTCAAGGATGGTGCTGGGAATACAGGTACAGGGCCTTTAATTCAGACCAGGACAAGCTATTAAAAATAGGTGGAAGCAGGACTATTTGAACTGAGTTTTGAAAGTCCAGTGGAAGTTAGATAAGTGGAGAGGGATGGAAAGGGTTATTCAGACAGAACTGACAATATGCACAAAGCCAGAGGTGTGAAAAAGTTTTATTTAAAGACTCAGAAGGGTAGTGGTGGAGTTGTAGAACTGGGGTACATAAATTATATGTGACATTAATAAAGTGAGGGAAAAAACAGATTTTGTTCACAAATAAGGGAAGCAATGTGCACTAGCTCCTCCTTTTGGTGATGTAATTATGCCTCTTCAGCATATCAGGTAAGTAAGAGTTGTGAGAAATGGATAATAAAGGAATGCACTTAACTTATTTAACTCAGTTTCTCAAACTTTGAGGAACTCTGGTTATCTGATTGAATAGTATTAGGTCACAAAGAGCTTTGTCCACACAGCTAAGGAGAGTGTGAATTTTATCCTGAAAGTTCTGGGAAGTTGATAAAGATTTTATGCATATGAATGACATGCCCAGATTTGCTTTTGGAAAAGTTATGCAGTTAGCAGGGTTGTTGGTAGGCTGAGAGGGTGCCGATTGACATAGAAGTTATCATCAGTGTAGAGCTAAGGTACAGTCATTGGAATAAGGAAAATGAGCAAGGATACTATCCACAGATCCTAAGAGGTAGGATCTCTCCAGCCTTTCTGTTTCAATAGGACAAATGAAAGCCATCTGTATAAGCTTGAAAAGGGCCACACAATTCTGTTTAATTACTGCAGCTGGTGGAAAGATGAAAATTTATTTAAACATCTGCATTTGGCTATTCACATAGCACTGTTTTGCTGTGAATTGATCAGTTTAACTTTAGGTTTTGACTGTTGACATAAACATGCGTTACTTAATTCCAGGTAACCTGAGTAGAGATCATGTGATGTGCTCAGTTAACTCGACACGTGATTATGTATGTTCTCTCCTATTTTTCTTAGTTATGAATTTAATATATTTAAATTTCAGGTAGCTACATTTTAACTTTCTTAATCATGTCTGTGTCAATATTCCTCATCTGGGAAAGTATTTATTCTAAATATTATTCTGTATTTTTTTTAAAGATTTCACCCATAATTCTTAATACCGTGATGACAATCATGGCTGCTATGTCTCCAAAGACAAAAGAAGATGAGTCCAAAGATGCATCTGAGGAGACAGGAAACCTCTGGTGTATCAGATCTGTTAATGAGTATAACTCTTGGTATCTTGGTGTTGACATGGCAACAGAGATAACGGAAAATTTCAAAGATACCAAACATGCATTATTAGAGGAAAATTGTGCTGTTGTTGTGGAGTCAGTTCAAGTTACCTTAGAATGTGGCCTTGGGCATCGAACTGTGCCTTTGTTATTGGCAGAGTCTAAGTTCTCAGGAAATGTGAAAAACTGGACTTCTCTAATGGCGGCTGCTGCTGACATGACCCTGCAGGTATGGCCCCATCATTGAACACCTTCAGAGCCAATTTCCTGAAAGTACAATTGCAGAATTAAGACGAGAGCTTTTCTTGTTTGTGCATAGCCACGGCAGGTATACATGTAGATAGATACTGTATTCTAAATTCAGTTTGTTGATGCATAATATTATTTTTTGGTAGTTTAGATTCTTTTGCAAAATAATTTGTTTGTGGGAACAGAGTAAGAGAGTGAAGGAAAATGCATGTTATATATATATTTGTGTGTTTAGGTCAGATTTTAAAATGGTTGATGACATATGACTTGAATTACTTAATATTTTTTCCTACCAGTTAAGGAAATTTGTAAATAAAGTTGAAAGACTTGCTTATTATAATTCTTTGTATTTCCAGGTGCACTATTACAATGAGAGCTATGCTGTCTGGGAGCCACTGATTGAGAGAGTGGAAGGGAAAAAACAATGGAACTTAAGGCTTGAGGTAAGGCTGTCTTAAAGTATCTTTGTAGAGAATAATACTATGCATAGTCACCAATATTTTTTAGTTCAGTGATTCTTAAGATGTGGTCTGGGATCCTTGAAGCCCTTTTGGGGGTGGGAGAGCTCATGAGGTCAAAATTATTTTCATAATAATAGACATTATGCATCATTTTTATTCTCATTCTCTCATGAGCATACAATGGAGTTTGCCAGAAGCTACATGAATTTGATATTCCAACAGATTGAATGCAGAGCAGAGATGAGAATTCATCTGTCTGCTCTTAAAGCAGGCACTAAAGAGATTTTCATATGTTCCTCTTCTCATTACATCTTAAGAATAGTTATTTTTTATTAAAGTGTTATTTATATTAACATTTAAATGATTATTAACATTTTCTTGGTTTTAATTTCTAATAGAGTAGAAATTAGAATTAATTCTAATAGAGTAGAAATTAGAATTAATTTCTAATTTCTATTGGTAGAGTCAAAAGATAAATGCGGCTCTTTAGGTACTCAGTGATTTTCTGGCCAAGACCAAAATATTTGAGTATTCTAGTTCATGGATTATTTTTATAAACTAGAATGCAATTCATCTCTTTATGGTATTTCTTGAGAACAATTCAAATTCCTAGATATTTAATACCAAAGCACATTTTTCTAGATTAAAAGGAATGTGAGTTATATATTGTTAACAGATTGTCACAGCATACCTCTCTGGGGCAACCTGGATGAGGAGGTGGGCACTGAAATTGACTCTGCAGATTGTTTTGTTAAAGATGAATCACTTAACCTATGTTCCAATTTCCTCTCAGTAAAGTAGAAGTTATGTTTATGACCTACCTCTTTCTGGCACAGGAAGGCTAATAAAAAATGTTTTACAAGGCTTTTGAAATGCTACTAGAAGAGAAACTGATGGAATATGATGACTAGTTGAAAGTTGATCATATTACTTCTTTGTAGGTGTTACTGGTAAGAGTAGAAGGAAACAAACTACTGTTTCCAGATGGTACCTCTGATAGCGGTCCATTTGGACTCAGCATCCCTTAGATTGCTCATCAACGCATAATCATCACTTAGGTGACACTGAAAAAATAGCTATGCTCTGGGAAATGTACAAGAGCAAATCATGGCATGTTTCTAAATTTTTTCCTATGCATGGACTATATACTAAAGAAAGAATACTCATCTGCATGGAATCAATGTGAAGCACTGAGTATTTTTGAAAATGAGACTTTTGAGGAGCCTTAATATGAAGTGACCAATTTAGGTGAAATTAACCCTACTTAGTATTTTAATTTTATTATTCATATTAATTGGCTAATAATTTAAGTTGGTTGTGTTATTTATCTTAGGTCAAGAAGAACCCTATCCAGGATAAAAGTTTGATGCCAGGAGATGATTTTATTCCTGAGCCACAGATGGCAATTCATATTTCTTCAGGAGATACAATGAATATAACAATATCCAAAAGTTGTCTTAATGTATTCAACAATTTAGCAAAAGTATGTTTGAATTTTTCTTGGAGTATTTCAAGTGTAATTTAAAAATGAAACATATATGGATTTTTTTTGGTCATCAAAATTAGTTTATAAAAGTGTAGTGATAATGTAGTCTATGGAAAGGATGTACATTTTGCAAAAATTGTTTTGTGATGGTATGTTTCTTTTCAGGGTTTTTCAGAGGGTACCGCTTCTACTTTTGACTACTCTTTAAAAGACAGGGCTCCTTTTACGGTAAAAAATGCTGTAGGTATTCCCATTAAGGTACGGCCTAACTGTAATCTCAGAGTAATGGGCTCCCCTGAGAAAGGTGATATTTTTGATGTTGATGCTGGCCAGAAGTTGGAATTGGAATATGCCAGTGTGGAACCTTCACATCAAGGGAAACTATCTGTACTGAGCCGTCAAGAAAGTTCCCTCTTCACTCTGACCTTTGGTATGCTAGATTTATTTTTTTTAAGGGCATCTGAGGAATTGTTGGTGTGGGCTTCTTTCTGATAAAATATGAAAACAAAATATGCTGCAGATGTCTTGGGAGACAACATTTCTAAAGGCTGGAAACATAGTTGATAAACTTATGTTTCTTGTTTTTTCCTAAACTTGAGAAAGTTAAACTTTATTGATTTAATTTCAGAAGTTACTTTAAAAACTAGATTGTTTATATGCCATTAAATAACACAATATATAGTATGCTTTAAAAAGGATCGTAGAGAAAATGATATTCAGAAATCCTAAAATAGTGACAGAAATTATTACTATTAGAAAAAGAAAAGATTGTTGATATATAGCTGGATTTTGTTTTAATATATTTAAAACCACAAGAAACATTTTTTGGGTCAAAAATTTTATGTCAGTAACTGGTCTGCTTTTTAAAATTTTTGTCTCAGAAAAGCATCTTATAGTGATCATTTCTAATTGTGAGGAAGAATACTCCTGTCAGTATTTTAAGGTGCTGATGATTATATTCTGTCATAGAGAAATATTAGTAAATTAATAGTTGGGATTCTTATCACTATGTTCTGCCTTAGTACCTCGTGGATACACAGAAGTTGCAAATATCCCTGTTGTCAGACCTGGACGACGATTATATAATGTGAGGAATCCCAATGCCAGTCATTCTGACTCCGTTTTGGTACAGATTGATGCAACCGAAGGGAATAAAGTAATTACCCTTCGCTCTCCTCTACAGGTAATACTTCAAAGTGAATTGTATCCTTTTCAGTATATCAAGAAATATTAAATCATTTAACTCAATATAGGAATATAGTATATCACCATTAGATCAGTACTGATTATTCAAAAATAAATAGTAAACTGAAGTGGCTTCTGTTCACTATCCACCTTACTTTTGCAATATTTTATTTTAATATTCATCTAATATTTAATTTAATATTTAATATTTTAATATTTTTTGTGTCTTAGAGATTTGTTTATTGAAAGCTCATTTTTTTTCTGTGGGCTTAAAATTAATGAGGCTTTTTTTGTGTATTTCTTTAAATATTCAGAGCTGAGTGTTGTAAATTCAGTTGATTGTCAAATAGAATAGCATTTCATTCTCTCCGTATATTACTTGGGATTGTATTTTTCAAGTGTCTATGAAGGCATATTGAAATGATTACTTCCCTGAAATAAAAGGTTGGCATCTTAATTTGTGTAAATATTTTCTTTTCTACTTTTAAGACTTTATCAAATATTTTCTTTTCAGTATGTGATGCACAAAATACTATTTTTTTCTGCCTATAACATCAGATAAAGATGTTTCAAACTTTGGCTGTTGTTATCTCTTAGTGTGTCCTTAGCTTATTCATATAACAAGTTGTAGTCAAAACAGAGTTGTACACTTTACTCATTTTTTTTTCACTTTTTGTTTGTGACGAGTTGAGAAAAGATTGTCATGGAAAAAATGTGAAATCTTCACAGAATAATGCAGAACAATGAACATAAGTGTGTGAATATATTAATAAATTTTAATTGCCGTTTAAACATGTTTACTATATATGGCAACAGATTTTCAGTTGCCAATAAAAATATCTTCCAGTATTGAGTTTGAAACCTTTTTGATCTAAAAGTAATTTTGTGCAGCTCACATTTTTCTTTTGAACTTATGTATCTTTTTAAACATCATGTGTGTCTTTTTGTCCAACAGATTAAAAATCATTTCTCTATTGCATTTATCATCTATAAATTTGTTAGGAATGTTAAGTTATTAGAACACATTGGAATGGTCAGACCTGAAGAGGAGTTCCATGTTCCTTTGGATTCTTATAGGTAGGTGCTTCTTTGAATATACTAAACTTAAACAAATGTATAATATATATGTTTAATTTTATGAATTGTGGATCCATATCCTGAAAAATAACCTCTTTTTAAATTATCTAATGATCTGTAAAAGCCAGTTTTGAGACATATAGTTTATTCTTCTGCAGATAAATTTATTTATATAATCACTGAATAAAAATCCCTTATATATTTGATGTTTTAGAATTTTCTGGGAGCCATTTTTAAATTACCTTGGCACTTGAAATGAATTTTTTTATCCTTAGCATTTTTTAAAAATTAAATTTTATTTTATTATAGAGATGGGGTGTAAAATAAGGATTAACTACAAAAGTAGGCTGCCTGTAGGTGAAGTGTGGGCCTCCAGCTGACCCTCACTCTTCCGATCCTAAACTGTACCCTTTGTGTTGTTTCATGTCCCTCTCCCCCCAGCAGTTCTCTGTGACTGCCGATCCCTCCCTTGTGCTGATCAGATTAATGTTCTGGTCCCACTTTTGTGTGAGAACATGCATTCAGTTCTTTGTTTCTGGGATAGATCGCTAAGTATAATGGTCTCCAACTCCACACAATTTGCTGTGAAGACCACGATTTTGTTCTTCTTTAAGGCTGTGTAATATTCCATCATGTGTATGTATCACATATTCTTTATCCAGTCCACTATTGATGGGTAGTAGGGTTGGTTCTATGTTTTTGCTATTGTGAATAGTGAGGCAGTAAACATGTGTGTGCAGGTGTCTTTTTGTAGAACGATTTATGTTCCTCTGGGATATTCCCAGGAGAGGGATTACTGGATCATATGGAAGGTCAATTCTTTTAGGAATTGCCACACTGCTTTCCATAGAGGATGAACTAGCTTGCACTTCCACCAACAGTGTAGAAGCATTTCCTTTTCTCTGCACCTGTGGTAGCATCTGTTGGTTTTTGATTTAATAATGATATGACCATCCTTACTAGAGTTAGGTGGTGTCTCATAGTAGTTTTGATTTGCATTTCTCTGTTGATTAGTGAGGCTGAGCATTACTGATAGTCAAAACAATCCTCAGCAAAAGGAACAAAGTGGGAGGTATCACACTTCCAGACTTTAAACTTTATTGCAAGGCTGTAGTAACCACAACAGTCTGATATTGGTACGAGAATAGGCACATAGACCAATGGAACAGGACAGCTATTCCAGAAGCAGAAACTTGTTCTCTCCACCAACTTATCTTTGACAAAGTCACTCATAACAAACAATGGGAAGATAAGACCATATTTAGCAAATGGTGCTGGAAAAACTGACTAACCACAAGAAGAGTGAAACTGGCCCCCTACCTATATACAAAACACCATATACAAAAATAAACTCAGAATGGATCAAACACCTAAATGTAAAACCTCAAACTATAAGAATCCTAGAAGAAAACATAGAAAACACCCTTGTGCACATTGGAGTAGGCAATGAATTCTTGACCAAGTCCCCAAAAGAGAATGCCATAAAAGCTAAGACTAGTGAGATTTCATCAAACTGAAAAGATTTTGCACAGCAAAATAAACCATCAAGAGTGTGGGGAGACAACCCATAGAATGGGAAGAAATATTCGCAAATTATGTATCTGATAAAGGTCTAACATCCAGGATCCCAAGGAACTCAAACGAAATGAAAGGAAAAACAAACAACCCCATTAAAAAGTGGACAAAGAGCACACAGATACATGAAAAAGTTCTCAGCCTCACTAATCATCAAAGAAATGCAAATCAAAACCACAGTGAGATACCACCTAACTCCAGTCGGGATGGCCATCATTAAATTACTCAAAAAACAACAGATGCCGAAGAGGATACAGAGAAAAGAGAATGGTTCTACACTATTGGTGGCAGTATAAACTAGTACATCATTTGTGGGAAAACAGTGTGGCAATTTCTAAAAGATCTAAAAATCATCTTTCCATATGACCCAGCAATCCCTCTTCTGGGAATATACCCAGAGGAACTCAAATCATCCTACAAAAAAGTTTCCTGCACATACATGTTTATTGCAGCACTATTCACAATAGCAAAGACATGGAACCAACTGTGCTGCCCATCGAAAGTGAACTGGATTTTAAAAAATGTGGTACATATACACAATGAAATATTATGCAGTTGTAAAGAAGGACAAAATTGGTTTAGAGTCCATCATACTCAGTGATATATCACAGAAACAAAGAATTGAGTACCACATGTTCTCACTCATAAGTGGACCCTGATCATTTATCATAATACTATGTGAAAGGAATTGATGATGGGTCACTGCCTGGTGGTGTGGTGGGGAGTATAGGTACATAACCCTAATAAGGGTACCTGATCCCAAACCAGGCAAAGAGAGGACCAATGGGAGTCCCAAACTTCATCAGTATGATGACCACTTATGTACCTAACCCTGAACTGTACTCAACATCTTTAAGAGAAAAAAAAAACAACAGCGGGAAAAGGACATGAATAGATACTTTTCAAAAGAAGAACTGCAAGCAGCCAACAGATAACATGAAATGAATTTTTTAAAGTTGTCTTTGTTTTCGTTCCAAAAAGTTTCACCATGAAGTACCTATGAGATGTTGGGTAAGTTTTTAAAGCTGGTTTTATTATCTGTAAAAATAGGAATACTAGCACCTACTTTGTAGAGTTATAAAGAATATTTAATGAGATTCTTTTTTATTTTTTTATTATAAAGATGTGGGGTACAATTCAGCGTTAGGTATACAAACATTGATTATGCAGGTACCCTTGTTGATGAGGTATGCCCCTCCCTCCCTTAGCAGTTTCCCTCAA